GCTTGCGGGGGGAGGGTAGGGGCTTCGTTCATTTTTCCCTATAAAAGTCGAGGTGAGCAATAATTCACCTCAAAATTGTCGCAACATCGTGGAGGCGCCGAGACCGTCTGCGCCCATGGATCTGATAAGCGGGAAAGTACAGGCAACCGCGGAACGCCTTTGGGATTCTACGACTTCAGGCAAACAAGAGATGGCATTTTTCAAGGTCAAAATGGCTTTAAGCCCGATCCCCAAGCTAATGGATTTGCTCTAAAATGCCTTTTTCAACTAAAACCCGGCAAGATGTCAATTCTCAGGTTCCCCAAGATCCTTGATGGTCATGTTCGTGAGCATTTTCCAGTACGCTGCCGTCTAGACTGGTAGGTGGTAATTGTGGAATCGCGACTCCACGTGTGTGTGCAGTTTGTAACAAACGGTCATTCACTGCTTGCGTAGTTGGAATCATGTGTGGGAATGTAATCCTGAAGTATGAATGCACACAGACGGTTTGTTAAATCACTTCCCTATTAAAAAGGACAATGGAACTTGATGGCGCAGCGTCGTGATGTGTGGAAGGGGTGCTTTCAGCTGAACACCGTTACTCTCTCCAAATCCCCCACCGAACCCTCTTCTCAGTAAGGACTCTTAGATGCACATTTGTGCATTTGTATCCGATTAATCCTTCTTTTTACTTTTAGGCATGACGTTCATGATTCCAACCTTCTTGGACGAAAGAATCTTCGTGACGCCCACATGCAGCCTGCGGTTTCGTAGGGTGAGGAAAGCCGACGAAGGCGTCTACAGCTGCTACAAACGCGACCTCCGCTTCCCCAGTCAGTGGCAGTCCCACGCGTTTGTGTCCTTCCGCCTCAAAATCGAAGAGCCCTCGATGAAGTTTCCCGTGGCCTCGGAAATCCTCCTCGGTTTACTCATTCTCACCACATGGGCTTGTTTGCTCATTTTACTCTGGCTAGTATTGTCAATTTGGAGCTTGGAGGTCAACAAAACGGCGATTATTCAAGCTGGGGAAAGAAAAAGGCGAAAGGAGAAACTGGCTGCGTTTTTGGCGGAATCCCAAGCAAACGACAGCCATTCCTTTTCTAGACATTCCAGAATACATAATCCAAAATACCTGCTACTTATTAATATTAGGTAGTTGGTTGTGTATGGACTATTTTCGTCAGATTTAATTTGGGTAAAGACAGCGACGATTTGAAACTAAAGGAAGTGTAGCGAATCTTTCGAATTGCCGAATGTTTTTATTGTCATTTTAAGCAAAAAACGGCTGTCCTGACGAAAACTTGCCTGTCAACTTGTTTATTTTAAAGCAGTGGTATGTCAACCAAAGCACTCCTTTAATCTCCAACACGGATTACTCCGCACCGATGACTCGCAGATCTCGGTCGCGTGAGCGTGATCCTCGATTTACGTAGTAGGTCATGTCTCGACCAAAGATAATACCATAATCCGCAAATAGTGACAAACACGTGGGCGTCTACACGCACCAAGTTTCCAACGTTAACTTTTTTATAAGATAGTGAAAAAAAATATTTCGTTTAAGTTAGTTGCATCTGGCCGACTCGCGTACGTTGAAGGCTGCATTCAGGCATAATGTAGTAGCTAGCATAGGAAACACGCACCTATTGCAATTAACTTTCTTCATCGGAGAATGTCCAGGTCTGTTGGGCGTTCCCAGCTTCCCACTCGCGAAACGATCGTGATAATGCGGGCTACAGACATTTGCTGGCCCACCTTCTCATTTCCACCAGGCGGTATTGTGAGGCGTGTCAGCACTGCATCGATTTTTGTGTCGCCTGAGGCACGTAGCAGTTTGGTAAGGGAGCAGGAGTGGCCCCCGTAGCTTCGACTCCACGTTCTCCCGTCGGCTTTACGCGAGGCATCAAGGGGTGTGTCTGAGTCTTCAACATCACCAACTTACTACCCTCCCCCAAATTCGTCAAATCATCTGTTCATCTCGAAACCACGATAATGCAGGAACTTATTACTGAGGGCCCGATTTTGTAGAACCGGCCAAAAACAATGTCGGTGGCTTTTGCCTTGACAGGCAGATAAATCTGTAGTTTTTGTGAAACGTTGGAGGCAGGGGCGGCACGTGTCCCAATTAGCAAAGCGGTCTGATAGGGTGGGAGGGGGAATCGGCGGTTTTTGGCGGAGGCACGTGGCGGAGGGGGAGGTGAAGGTGTCTGGTACACGTATCCCACTTCTTCCACACTTCGATGACACCGTGAATTTGGGTGGACCGAAAGGGTTTGCTATGCTCGCTCTGTCACGGCTGAAAGAAGCACTTTCCGTGCTTGTTTTGGGCATGGCCATAAGTGATTAGACTGGCACAAATGAACGCCGTTTCCGTTAGTGGCAACACAATATATTACTGAAAAAAAATAGGTACCGCGTTTTTAACCAATAGGGAGAAACACCGGTGTTTGAAGTCGTGTAAACTGGGCAATCAATCTAACTGTTGACTTCTTATCATCTGCTTCTATGGTCAGGTATTCTATTGTTTTGCGTTGATCGGTGCAACGCTTACGTGGTCTCCCGTTTGAATTCAAATGGTTCTCTCAAAATTTATCGACCAAAGACTTAAAATAGAATGTGCACAAGGGAGTTTACAATCACCGAAAATTGAGCGCAAAACGACTCGTGCTCTAACCCTCACCGCTAGTCATCTTCAAGGTCAAAATCGACCGCTATTGATTTTCTTTCAAGCTGTCCAAACGAACGCGTTGCCTCACGATTGGGATACAAAATCCGATCTGTAACAACTTCGATCTGTAGCTTACTTGGCAAGTATTTATTTATATACGAGAGGTCTCGAATTTAAGATGTTTAAATCTAATTCTTCTCTGCCTCTTACACAACCGATCGAACGCTGTGATCAAGTCTAGCGCACTCCACGAGAACATTTAAAACTCAGAGGGGCTGGCTAACTCCGTAGTAGTGGTAAATCTCGGAGCAAAACTGATCCGCGTGTCACTTAAAGCGATCTGATTATCCGACAAGCAGTAAAAGTTCGAGAATAACCCTGTTGAATGGGTTTTATGTCATAACGTGCTTAAAATATGCTCCTGAGTCTTCTTCGAATGTGTATCCTTACTCATAGCTGACGAAAGAGGCGTATTCGTATTAGAAGGTCATTTGCTTTGCATAAATTTCATTTTGTCGAGCCTAAAAAAAGATTGGTGTTCAACGTGTTACCTTGTGCTTCGACAATGTGGCGTCCCGAGTCCTCTGTGTTATCTCTTTCCGTCTCGTTGACACCCTCTGTGGGCTAGCGCCATGTCCTTCAAATGTGTGGTGCCGCTGACAAGTACGCTCGCGCATCGGACAAGGTCTACCAATCAGCGTCCAGTCCCTGTCTGTTAACCAACTGCAGGACGCGAGTGACCATCGCTCGCGTGCCTATTGGTAAAACCTAATTGTAAGCGTTCGGACGTATAGGTGAGAGAGGCGCACGCGCACAAGGCAGGTGTGACTGACTGCCCCTTGGCCAGTCGTCTTGTTTAGGTGTCCGCATAAACACCCCCTAGCGCCCCCACCTCGCGTGCGCACGTGAGCGCCTCCTGCTCTCCTTCTTTCCACCACGTTCGACCATTCACCACAACGCCCGATCAAACTAAAGTGGACAAATAATCAGTGAGTCTTTAATTCTACCTTTATCAATTCTTTCCACGTGCACTTCCATTTGCTTATTTCACATTGGGCTCTCTTAATGCGAGCACACAGGTCGGTTTTAGTTTGCAAACTTCGGGTGATGTGAATTACCCAAGACCTAATCACGGTGGTCTGTGACTTCACGTCAGTGCGACAACTTCCTTTCAAAATGTGAACAGCCGATAGGTTCCTACAGTAACCGAAAGTATGAAGGATCAATAACCCGATGGCTGAATACTTTTGACCATCATTTGTGCGTAGTCATTCGATTTGATACCAGTTTTGTCTAGGGATGATGATAGAATGTGCATTGCAGACCATCGAAAATGCGAAAGATGTCAATGTCGAGGACATCTGTCTTCCAACATTTTTTTGGCTAATGTGATGGTGTAGTTGTCGTGGTCCCAGCTGCCTCGTCGTTTAGATTCCCGGAATGACCTCTGATTGGTTCAAAAGTTAATCGATCATTTCATTGTTGCAACGTGGGCGCCAGTTCAGTGCAGAGGCCTGAGGCGTTAGGATTGGTGGATGAGTCCTGTTAGGTGGTGAGGATGGGGCTGCGTTGTCACCACCAGACCATCTCCGTGGTGCCGATTGTCCACTAACCAGGTGACCCAAATTCGCATAAGTAATCACAAATCATTATAATAACGGGAGTCCTGACGAACTACAGCCGACATCAAAGACAACCGATGTGTTCGCGTCCCTAGCGTGTACCCCTACTACGTGTTATTTTTGTGAATCAAAGCCGCCCTCGTCCAAATGTACGCGTGATGCTGAAAGAATACCTCGAGACATCTGTTGCCTGTGTTCTTCGCCGACGGCTCGACTGGAGTATTTGTGTGGACCATCGCAGCAGCTGCCGACGTCAACTCTGCTGACTTCGCATGACTGGCAACGCAATCAGGGTTGCGACCAACAGGGAGCAAGTACCACGCCTGAAGATCTAGTGTATGTTGCATTCTGAGGCTCTGCTAATCCGAAGACTTCCAGTTGCGTTGGAGTTTATGGCGAAAGACCAACATTTTCCGAAAAACACCATCATTGCTGTGAAATTCTCTTCAACTCTTCCACCTGAATGCGCACTCAATTGAGGCGTGCCTGAGTGGATCGATGACTACTCACGACTAACAAATTTGCTTGTGTCCTTCTCTGGAGAGTGAGAGGGAGAGAGCGAGAGAGGGTGAGATGGCTATCTGAGACAGTCGAGCAAAGTTGTAATGGAGTCCACGCATGCACCAACACATTCACACACACACACTCACACTGTCCCATTCATCCCTTCAAACCGCGATAGCATCTTTTCGAGTGCTGCTAAAGCCAAATTTTTTCACTGTGTGGGAGAGGGGACGCGGATTTGCACTACTCACCACCCGGCAGAGTCGCCCGTAGAAAGCAGCAACTGGATGTGGGGAGGGCAGTGACAGTCGCCCCGGTCTTTCCACCTTCCCCCCCTCCCACTGGCCTCACAGAAACCGCACCAGTCTGTTATCGCACTGCTTGTGACACGTGCCGGGCATAAAAGCATTTTAAACACCATTAATATCTTGATTCTGCATCACTAAATGCCTATTCATTGATAGGCTTTGTTCTTAACACTCCACCTAACGCCTTGCGCCAACCTACCCCGACGACAGAACGGTCGGTGTGTACGAAACCCCAGATTTATAGCAGCACCTTCGTCAGAAGATCTTTGCTGTCTAGAAGCCAATCAAACTTGGCTACCTGCTACGTTCTCAGTTTCGTGACGTCAAACGAATGCCCCAGCTACGTGCCATGGAATGCAGAGAGTAGTGTTCAAATGACCAACTAGTCATTGACTGTACCACACACCAGCTTGTCATTTCGCGTAGTCAGGGGATCACTGATGAGGTCGAAGCGGTCAAACATTACCCACGAGCCAGTAGCACTAACTCACAGAAACCGTCGTGCTTGTCGTAAAAAAAAACAACTGTCAACTCCAAATGGCCCCACCAGCTGGTAGTAATCTTCGCATTAAGCCCCAAAACGAGTCGTTTATGGACTTCGGAGTTCATCCGGTGGGGTTGGGGGAGTTTGGGTGGTCGCACCTGCTGCCCCCACCACCTGCGCCACCGGTGGGTCCATTTTGGATTCGCGTATCGTCATAAAACTGTTGATCGGTACTCCCCACAAGCACAGCTTGGCCATTTAGTAAGGCTTATTTACCTTCATGTCCACCCGATTCGCAGTAGCGCCGGCCAAATCACCACCGTGGGAGTTTCACCGTAAAATGCCGTTTGGGGAGGCAAACCGGCATTCGAATGGATTGTGATTTGTCGACATGAGACCTCCATGCTGAGCTGCTAAACTGCACCAACTGAAACCTAACGCCGACTGGCTTCCTGCTTGGCTTAGCAAATGCCTGTGGCCACTACACTACAGATGTAGGCAAATTTTGCCTGACTGGAAAGGCCATTTTGAAATCGGGAGTTTTCCACTTGACAGTAGCACTTGAGTTCTTCTGCAGGGGAATCAACTAATTCAGGACTCAGGCCTTAAGCTTCTAGACAGACGTTTTACCTTCCTACATTGCTAGGATATGTGAATCTGCATTGATTGAGCGGCCTTCTGTTGACCAATACAGTTATTTACTGTCTAATTCGTCTGTCGACACCTTTAGACAAACGACTTTTTTAAGGACTTAGTCGGTAAACAGGGCTTTCACACTGAAGTGATGAACTCGTGGATAGCCTGTGCTGTGCGTCGCAAATTAATAAGATTCGATTACTCGCATGGGCGGACATGTTTACCCACGGCTGTAGTCAGAATCGCGGGCGTGTGAAGGGGGAGGGGTCAGCGAAGGATCGGCGATCGGAACCACTGACGCGGAACGGGCTGTGGGGTACCTCCTCACCGATAATGCACGTCCATCTCCCTATCGATCCTCAACACCCCTTCAACAGCCTGTGGCCAAGCGGGCACTAAGTGATCTTTTCAATGAGCGAATTCGATAATGGGTTTTCGTGGACTGTCCTATCCCCCCTTGACACATGTCTGAGGTACAGCGGCCATATTAGTACATCGAAGCTAGTACCATTTTCGGAGTTGCTTGTTAAAGTAAACCTGCAAGTCGTTAACCGACAGTTCTAACTCGCAGATACTGAAAGGTTAATTGGTTTTTTTTATCAGGATGAAGACCAGACACGATAGTACGATTAAAGTTTATGATTGTGCAAAAATTAAGACTGAAATGCTCTCCTATTGGCCGACTGGTTGATTCAAAGTGATGCCAAGAAAAAGCACATCTGGACCAGCTGCTGCGTCGTTGGTGATGGGCTGTGCCGCGTCGTACCCAAACCCACCAGCTACTCACGCAAGTCCAACTGCACGCATGCGCACACACACACAAAATTAATTGCATTTTGCGGTCAAAGTGCGGAAAACATGGTTTCACTCGTCGTCTTGCGCTTTCAATTAGTGTAGTTCAACTGCGCCGCGCGGTAGTGACCGTCTGTTGACCGCGATTGAGGTCACCTTCGCTATCGCGCTTTCTCTGTCTCGTTCGTCGCTGTTTCCAAGGCTCTACGTGTTGATTCGCCGCCGTCTTACAAATGGCGCGCCGGAAAGGCCCACACACGAGCACACACACGAACACGCAAAACGGTGGCGACGTTGCCCCTGGTGACCACGGGGGGGGCAGGCTGTTAACTGCGCACTAACACCAGCAGCTACAAAAACAATTCACTTCAAGTAGCCGTACTGCTTACTGCACACAGCCCGCTCACCAATCAACTTGGCGGGTGGGTGGGTGGTGGGACAGGAGGCCAAAAAGCAGCCATTGGTGGTGGCCCTTCTTCGAAAAGGACATCCAGGAGTTCACCATGACAGCATTCGCAACGCAGTCTTTGACCTTTCACCGCATCATTATAAGTTCAGGCCTCGTATCAGGTGGAAAGCCCGCAAATAGTTATCACCGTTTCCGTCTAATTACTCCTACTCAGAATTATTTCAGTGGACCGAGTTGTTAGACTATGCGCGGCAGAAATCTACAAAAAGTTTCGAACTAGCGAAGTCTCGCCGTTGTTGAGCCAATGAAAATCCGGACTTCACAAATGGCCTTCATCCTCCTCCCCGGCCACACGAAGCTCGGGTTAGTCAGACGTGTGGGTCACACCAAGTCAACCCGGTTTCCACCCCCCCCTTCCCCCACACCTAACGTGCTACGAGTTTGCGAATGTAGACACTGGAGACCACTGTCTTCCCTGGGTTTCGTTTGCTTTTCACCAGTTAGCATCATTTTAGTTCGCCTTGTGTGTCGTTTTTCGAGCTTACCGGAAACACGGCCTGTTTGAATTTGCGATTTTAAGCGGCATATGCTGGAGCTACAGACCGCAGTGGGTCAGAAAGATGGGCATCAAGCGTGTCAAGTTAAATATCACCATTCACAGTTCTCAGCTGACTCACACCAAACATCGCAACTGTGGATGAGTAATCTTAACAACCAGAAATCCCGACAATTATAGACAGGATCAAAATTTGAACTACTTCAGCCATACCAAGGATATTCAGTTCCATGCATACCAAAGTATTAGTTTATAACTCATGAACTGACGGACGGGTGGTAAAAATTGGAGCCCGACAGCCGACTAAAAAATAACCCCTAGTGGCCAGAAACGACAACCCTTTTAATGAAAATTGGGAGGTAGGAACGTAATTCGACCAAATCTATAGCATATGTGAGGTTGAAAAAAATAAAAAAATTATCCAAATTTGACGGTTTAATATCAGATGCAGAATCATTTTTTTTTCTGACAAAATTAAGTAAACTGGCCCGTCCTCATGAATAGAGGCATTTTGCCGAATCACCATTTAAATACTAAGAAAAAGTCATCGTCTCATGTTCGAACGGTGGTCGCCTGTAGGTGAAAGTCCGTTTTTTTGCTATGCAACCGAGTAATCCGTGGGGGGTGGTGGTGCGAGTTGACAGTCGAAGATTAACTCACAAGGTCGAATGTGAATGGCTAATGGCGTGGACGGATTGTGTAAAGCCAACGAACGCAAACAGCACCCTAGCACGGATAAAGCAGACGGACTAGTCATCGTAGGTGTTATTAGACAAAAAACGGGGGGCAGAGGCGGTATATAAAGCAAGCGGTCCTGACGCGTGGCCGCAGATCGCGTCACAGATCCGATGGAGGGGTATGTCTTGCCTTACCTTTCATTAATGCCACGACTTAGTTTCTGCACTTTCTTTCTGTGTTCATTCGTTTTTTTACTTGTTTTGTCACAATATGGGGGCAGTTCCTTGTTGCGCTGATGTTTGTGGTCAATGTAGCCCGACTACACAAATCTATGCAGCCATTTTCTTGCGCTTGTGGATGCTGCAGGATGGGAACGGCGAACGAGAAGGTTTTGTGAAGTTGTAATCTGGACCAGTATGCGACCGGACTACTGCCGACCGCGGCAGTGTTATTCCAGCCCACCGCGCATTCGCCCGTAGCCCAAGGCAATGTAAACAACTTCACGTCGACTGCAAGTGGTACGCCTCATAAAACGGCAATTCGCGTGGGCCAGTGGGTGGTCAGAGTGTTGGGGACTGCCACTACTTCCGCCTTCTGACACGTAGCCTCAAACACGCCTTGGCCGATTCGGCACTACGTGGGTGGCACAGACCTGACAACTACTGAGGGACAACGTTGTACTGACCTGAGTGTTGCCCGTGCCCAAAGAAGCCTAAGAAGTTGGCCTCACCAACGGTCGGCAGATTAAGTAACTGACGTACCACGTTGATTTCACCAAAATTTGTAGTGGGCCCCGGTGCGGTTTTAGAAACCACACCAGGGCCGACAATCTACGTTGACACGGCCCGACCGAAAGTAGAGCAGAACTGCAGATAACCAGTAGCTCAACCAATTTACTAAAGCAGTAGCGGAGTGTGTGTGCTGTGTACAGGATAGTAGATGCGTTTATATAGCTTTGCTAAGCATTGATCTCTGAACGCAGCTGATTGCGTGGAGTTCATTCACGAATAATCGAACGAACTGTTTTCGCTTGTGTTTGCACACTGCGTTCGTCCACGATTGATAACTGTGCTCGCCACAAATTCTAACCGGACCATTTTACGATAGAAGGCATTCAACTACAAACAAAAGTTTGCTCGCGTAAGTTTGTGCACGCTGCTACGACATTTGGCACTTCTTTGCTCACAAAGGGAATCTATTTTGCATGCGTGGAAGCCTTCAACGCTTAAATGCTCTTTACTCAGACACTCCAGTTCGGTGCAAAAATGGCTGCATAATTTGCCTTTTCTAACGATTGCTTTTTCTAGTGAGGAAATGAAGTCGCCACGGCCAACACGCCCCATCTTCGCCGTGGAGGACATGATTGACCCGTGTGTTGAGGAGCAAGCCTCAACGTCTACTCAGACGTTCAACTGCTCCGAATCGTCAAATGCGTCGGCTACTCCAAGCGATGCACCCGAGGACCTTAGTGTGAATTCCTCCAAGGACCACGAGCCTCTCAAACTAGGGTCCACCTCGCTTATTGACGAACCTAAACCCGAGCCACCGCCTGATCAAACGGCAGGCGATGATGCGAAAGCACTACCACGTTTACTTTTTTTCAACCTTTTTAGCCAACTGTTGAACTCCGGCTTACTCCCTCCAAGTCCCACTCCAAGCGTTCAAAACGGAGCCACGTCCCAGGTTCAACGTAGGGGATCCCAAAGAGAAAAAAGAAGCGATACGTGTGAATTTTGTGGCAAGGTCTTTAAAAATTGCTCAAACCTAACTGTGCATCGACGCAGCCACACGGGCGATAAGCCATACAAATGTGCCTTATGTCCTTACGCCTGTGCTCAATCCTCGAAACTGACTCGACATATGAATACCCATAAAAAAAAGGGGAAGTCAAGCCTCTACTGTAGGTACTGCTTCACACCCTTTATTGTTGCCTCGACGCTGGAGAAGCACAAGAGAAGGTGTTCTGCCAGGGCAATTGCGAGCACAAGCTACATGCTGTCAGCTTCACTAAGCCAAGTATCCCCTCCGACGGTGATTAATAGCGTCTCTCAGCAGCCGTTACCTCAGGCGGGATCGTCAACACCAGTCTCAGGGGTAGCGGCGCTAGCGGAAGCAGCAGCAGCGTTAGCAAGTGCATCAGCGCCTGCCGCAGCAGCATCAACATCAGTGGCGGGACCATCAACACCAGTCCCAGGGGTAGCAGCACTAGCGGAATTAGCAGCAGCAGCGTTAGCAAGTGCATCGGCGCCTGCCGCAGCAGCATCAACACCAGTGGCGGGAGCAGCAGCAGCACCAGTGCAACCGCTATTGACCCTACCACCGCCACAGCTACTTTTACCCCAAAATTCGCAAGCAGCTTACTACTCTGCTCTGCTTGAATGGTTCAAAGTCCTAAACTCCACCTTTTTACCTAACAAATCCTGACTCGCAGTAATCCCTTCATGCTTTGACCCCTATTTTAGTGTACACATCAAGAGTAGTACACCTCTTGAGTAGTTTTTTTTTAGATTATAGAATTAGTGTTGCTACCAAGAAAGTGACTTGTTCTCTGGGCTATGAGGGACAGTCGAAACAAAAAAAAGTGCATTAACAATCGACTCGAGATGATTCCAGTGGCGTAACTAAAGGAAAATTATAACTTCAGAAATGAGGGCGTCTTTGGGTCTGGACTCGTTGGAACGTTACATTTGCAGTTCAGGCTTGTCTAAGCGCTTTGCTCAAGTATTTTGGCCAAATAAGAAAAAGGCTTGACTGTAGGGGGCGATGTGAGGGATGGCCAGTCGTGGTTTGGGGTGAGTAGACTTAGGCCCTAGACGCATCTGGAGCAAGTCGCCAGATGTCAACTCAACCCAGCCAGAAAGTTTATCCTTCGAATCGATTCTACTACCACTGTGGTGGGATTCACGAATACTGTGGAGTACTGCTATTTCAAAACGTCTGTTGCCTGCTTGCGTCCATCAATTGACCACAGCTTTTAAAAATGGCGATATGTGACTAGAATAACTGGGGATAACGCCTGTCCATGAAGCACGTCACGGTTTTCTTTTTGGAACGAATTTGCACGACAGAGTTGCATATTGTAACTAAAGTTCCTGCGCCAATAAGCTTAAACGGAAACACAGCGACCTACTAAACTTAAGCAGATCCCGCAGGACGCATTTGAAGCTCCTACGAGGTACAGAAACCAGATCATGACTATTGATGTGGTTTGCCAAGATCCAACATCTCGTTATGAAATTGGAAAGTGCGCTACTATCTGTCGACTGAAGCCCAGCGACACCCCGTCCGTATTCCAAAACATGTTGCGAGTTGGTGTCCAGTCTCGAAAAGCATGTCACAGTAAACTGATGGCTAAATGTTGAAATACTAGTTTCATTAACCTTCGTAATAACTGACGACTGGCCATTCTAACAATGGAGAATGGCACTGATCATATGTGGTGGGCTACAGAGGGTGCGGCAAAGTAACGTCCACATGATGGGAACGCTTGTCAGAGTTACCAATCAGACTCCTGCCATGTACCTATGGTTTTGGGAGATGTCGACCATAGAGAGATGGTGTGGAGTTGGTCTCTCGTGCTTCAACCATTCGACTTCGCAACACGCCTTATCGCCCGTCCAGCTTCAAAGTCAAAGTCTTGATTTGATGGAATTCACCTTTGGATGCCAAAGAGCCCCCGGCTGAGGCACCATAATTTGCATGTTCCAACCACTTGTTCCAATACCACTGATGATACAAAGTCCAGCCTCAAATGAATGGACCATGTTTCACTGGTTAGTGTCTGTAGGGCTCGATCGGTCACAGCCAAGAAGGCGTCGACACATGTTTCCTGCCACATTGACAGCATGAATGAGAAGGCATGAGCCTCATGGGTCTGAGCCAGGGCGTTCGTTCCTGTCCGCTCAAGAAAAAAACACCGCCTTGGAAGCCCAAGACGGACCCCAGCACGGTCAAAGTGCCTTCCATTTTGTGGAGACTTTTCACTGAATAGGTCTGTTCGGTTGTTCAAATACTGAAGCCCTTTGTGTGGAATTAAGGGGATAATGCATCACGCAATTAATGAGTTTACTGTAATCAGTACAAAAGGGCCGTACCAGGATTAGTGCATGAAAAGTCACTGAATGTGAGGATAAAGTAACGCTGTAAAACTCAAGATTCGTGTCACTGTTTATAGGTTTAATCTTCTACCACCGCTTTACCAGACTTTCAACGGCATTCTCGCAATTCCACTCAAGCCTTGTTGAATAGGTGGGTGTCTTACGAGTCCACGCAAATGTACTCTTCAGACAGTATTTCTTTCTCTACTAAATGTTAGTAGAAAACACATATTTCTCCTTTTTAGGGGTTTTTCCGTTACTTTGAGCGTCGTCGTAATGTAGACCATTGTGTTTTGCACGGTTTTTCGAATTAATTAAGTACAATGTCCAAATTTATCATCAGTTTCAGCCAACTCAAGATCCTCGTTCAATCAACACTAACAAGAACTGATGTCAAGGACGCTGAAATTGTGGAATTTGTAACTGAAGCGGAAGTTTTGCCTCATCAGAACTCGGGTTTTATAAATTTATGCAGGTTAATATTTTATTTTGGGAAGGCGCTTACATCGACAATTTTGAGAAGTACTAGTCCAAAATTGCCATGACCGCGTGGTACAAGGCGACACGGGTAGCCTACGTGCTGGGTCACGGGTGGAATTACGGCGCGACAGCTAATGACATTGTTGTTCCGTTCCATCACCCGACAGGGGTCGCACGTCCGACGTATTCCGCAAGTCCGCGGTTCGCGTCTTTTCCAGGTAAACTGAGCTGTCCCACAACTGCGATTTTGGTGTTTCCGCCACCCACCCGCCCCCCTCCCCGCGATGTAACTTTTCACACATTAACTCGCATTTCCTTGCAGTCGAGCCTCATTCGCACGGATGCGCGCACACACACACACACATTAGCCGTCACTTATCTTACGCCCCTAATCGAGCCATTTACAACACGAGCCCACGCCTGCTGTCGCCACCACGACCACATAAGTGTTCGCGCGGCACTCCTGGGTCTGCACACGGGGGGGGGGCGGTGGGGCGGCGCGGCAATCTATTAGAGCCTGCCCGCGAGCAGCCACTAAAAGCCCACGGACTGGCTGGCGCTACTCAGTCGCCAGGTCGACTGCGCGCCACCGCCAGTGAATGCAAAACTTCTACTTTGTCGAAAAAAGATGGGCTCGCCCTCTTAAGTAGTTGACTTGAGTGGTTGAATGAAACGCGGCGAGGGGAGGGGGTTTGCGGGACTAGCAGAATCTACTTTCTTCCTCAAAGTTATGGCAGTGCAAACCAAGCCGAAAATGAGTACGGTGTTTAATGGTCTTTCACCAGGTAAAATGTTAGCGTCAAATCGAAACGCTGTTGAGGGTATCAAAGGCAAACCATGAATTCGCCAACCCATGGAGCCAGACAAAATGAACTCCACGGGTTAATGAGAAAATCAAGTTCTTACCGGAGACTGGACTGGCAAACAATAGCCGAGGTGTCTCTGCTTCGATTGGCTGCATTCGATTCCACAGACGTGGGCCAAATATCGTGCACTGTTCTGAAAAGTCATAGGAGATCATGTGTTTGTTACTTTAGCTATTACACTTTTAATCCCCACTCGTCCATGACTTTGAAGGTATTGAACGAACACTGTATCGTTTATGTCCGTCTGAATACCTTCTAACCTTTACCAGCCGAAAATGTAGGGAGTTCGCAAGTCCTAGCAAAAGCCATTTGGAAACTGAAGTCAATCCACTGTGCTACGTCGAAAAGGACCTACAACTAGTACACTTTTTTTCTAAATGCAGGTTTAAGTTCTTTGATCTCAAAGAGTTGATTTAGAATCGAAATGGTTAAAAATTTGTAGGATGTAAATCATGCGCCAGGTCCATTTATGTGTTGATTTTACATTCAGGATGGCAGGTACAAATTGTCTTGTCAAATCATCAAATCATTATTATGACTACATTTCAGGATTCTGCAATTAACTTATGGAAGACGGAAACGAACAAACGACTCCGAGGACTTGGATGGGTAGGACAATAGATAGTGCCTTCACTTTGGAGGATCCAAGCAGCTACACTTCGACATAACTGACACGGTATCAGAGAACTCAGATATCGCAGTAAACAGTACCTCAGTGACCATTTTGGGAAGGTGGCGTTTCAAATAAACCCTAACAGGGAAGGTACACATTGCTTTAATGCGGCCTAGCCAACTTCTGTGGATTTCCACCATACAAGCAGGACGTCGCTCTAAGAACGCCCTTAATAGGATTCAAACTCGTTGTTGGAACCCATTAAAATTATCGAATCACCCTGAGACCTGCTTGGTAGAAGAAAAAAAAGAGAAAGTGTAATTGGAAAGTCTACAGAACAGCTTTTTTGAACAAACTTTCCTTTCCACCTCGAGAGCCCTAACATGTGAAATTATTGAAATATTTGGCCCCTAAAGTCCCATTTACAACGGCTACCATAAATTACACAAATTGACTTTTTAAATTCACCACAATTATTGTTTTATCGATCACCCAACCGGTTTATTAGCACGTCGAATTTCGATCACTCAGCGAGTGACTGTCATCATCGTCAACCAACATCGAGTGTGAGGCACGCGAACGGGATTTTTTGTTTCTGTGTGCAACAAGTCGTTTGTATGCCACAGAATTGTGCAAGACGTCGTATTTTATTCTTCGGAAAATCCACCAAGACGCACCAAAGCAGAATGGCGAGGGACAAGCTGTGGAAATTCAAAGTGAAGATGCCGTCGCTTCATTATTTACTGAACGGATAAATATGGTACCCAAGGGAGGACACATTTTAACGTAGAAGTAAGTTTTGGCAATTACGAAATCCCTCAGGTGTTTGGTCGGTTTTGGGGGAACTTTTCGTTCAAGTGGAGACCACTGTTCACAAAGAGGACCTCAGGGTCCGGGAATGAGGCCACATCCACTGAAACGTTGGCTTCCTCCAGCTGTGGCGGTGTCGCAGCAGGAGATAACACGTCTGGCCCCAAGTTTCTTATTTCAACTAGTACATGTTTTAGTTTATAAGTCTAGTCAGTCTCTACATGGCCAGGAAAGCAGAGGGGCAATCGATAATCTTTTGGCCTCCAGCTGAGCCCTAGGCTGTCTAACACACGCTTTTGTGCTTGATTCGACTTTCTGCTTGATGAGGACCGTCAACGACCACGTCTTACTCAGCTTCCAGTCTTTCTGACTCTAAAGCACGTTGACACAACCCTTCCCGCTTGATTACACAAACCGGCTTGTGGTGAAATCGCGTGAGCAGGACCGGCAGACCCTGCATCCATTCAAAAGGTACGGATAAGGCCTTTAAATTTTTTATGTTTTCTTTACGTAAATATTAATTGTGTTTTCGCTTGCCGGCTCCTGACCTCGCCTGGCACATTAATGCAAAATAAGCCGTAATATCCTTAGTACGTGCCGCCACTCGCATTACTGAGATCAGTAAGCTGCAACAATGCGTGATGCTGTGACAATTTGGCGAATTAATATAATTCGGTTGCACGAGGATTTGCAATGTAATGGGGAGTGAGAACATGGAACCGCAGTTAACTATCATTGCGTTATCCCTGTGGGCATAATCAAAGCCTCAGATTTATTTGAATCACTCACAGCATTAGTTGGAAAATTGAGCCAATCATTTTCACGTCAGCTTTCATATTCATTACTCTTTGTCAATACCCACGTAAATAGTGTCCTAGAAGCAAGGTTTTTTGGGGAAAAACTGGGCCCCGATTTTGAAATTCACTAAATTTGTCTGCTAACAAATTACCTTTCACTTAGTCTCGAGGTTGTCCCATTTCCCTTATCACCTTTCCTCGGAGACTTGTTTGGTATTTTTAAATCAAAACGGAGACCACTGGCCACTATCTGAGCACTAGCTCTAGGGGCACGTCTACCAATGTACGCAGTCTTTTCTAAACTAGAATCTGCTTTAATTTAAATCTCCACCGTGGTTTATCAGCCAACCTGTGGTGAAACGCAGCTTGCCGGTCCCGTGTGTCAACCGAAGGGAAAATCCAGGTAGTTTGGACGAGTAAGTACTCTTTGCAGTCCACCTTTCCATCATTTTTAGCGGTGTGGTGGTGCAGTTAGGCACGTTCCACTGGCATGATTTTTTTTTCTCCTTTATTTAGACAACTTTTTTTGGCCCCAGTTGATGATCCTCTAAAGGTGTGATTGAGGTTTGTGCGCATGGTAAATTTCGGCAAAAAATAAAACAAAGCGTTCCCTAGGTATATCTAGCCTCAGTTGGGAACTTTTGGTGAGAACCGACTAACTATGTTGCGAAATTTCAACCGAGCGCTCCAGCTAATGAATGAATTGCATGAAGACGGCTTTCTGCTCTGTAATCGGCTAATTATGGCGACATCACATCAATGGGAATTTCGCCAGTGGACCCCTTTGAACACTGACTGAGTGGGTTCTTTCAGGGGGACTATGCTAGCGCCTCCACCTTCATTTCAGTTAGTACATCAAACGGACTCAGCGTAGTTGATTGGACTGGTTGTGTGGGCTCGCATCCAGCGGCAGTTGCTATGTGTTACCTGACCTCTGGCATTTCACTGCGCTGCAGTACGCATTCGGGACGTAGCAACAGGGTGCTTAAAACAACAGCCAAAAACAAAAGTAACGAGTCAAGGGTGCCTTGCTCGCAAAAATCCAGCGGCAAAGGTAAACAAGGGAGGAAATTGTAGTAAGGGGCGAAACCGGATATCCTCGAGGCCTGTACTTTGGCCTCTTTAATCACGCCAACAGGCAACAGCGAACCACAAGCGGGATGGACTCGGCTGCGGGTGGTTGTGCTTACATTTGTGTGACAAATCTGGCGTTTTTGCGTTTGGGGATTGAAAAGATGACCGCTGGTTTTGTTTATTGGATTGTCAAGTCTCAAGATCTGACTGGTTTCTGGCACGGTGATGATCGTTTGCTGTAAATTATCCGGGTAAATTCCAGAAGCTTCAGGCACCGTTCCTCGAAATTAAGTAATTAGGATATCTCGTTTTAGCAATGCCCCTGATCCCAATGATGGAGTTAATTAAACCCATCGACAAAGAATGCTATTCGATTTCGTTCATAGCATTATGACGGCAAAAAGCATAAGCCCACAACCAAAGGCACACCAAAGTGCTGTCTTTTAATGAAAATGGCGTGATTGTTTGCTTTCGTCCCCAAATCACCCTCTTGCGTGGAATCGAAAAGGTGAGTATCGTGAAAGAGAATAAAGGTCGACCCCAGTGATCTGGGAGCATGTTTACCCAGTGATATTGTCAACCAATGTGTGGCTATTACGTGCAAGCAAGATGGTCTGTGTTGGAGCACAACTGGATGATGCTAAGGCTTAAACCTGGATGGATTCTAATTTACTGTGACAGACAGGCCGTTAGTGGTGTGCATTTGAGTTTCAGTGTAAAAACGGCGGACACATTGTGTAGACCAATATTTGGATCCATTCCGTCGATGTGGACATCTGTGGCCATTTGATAACTGGATAAAGTTTCGATTTCCGCCTACGGGTTTACCTAAAGCAATGAGCCATCGTTGAATGCATCTGGTGGCGATGCTACCACTACATTCTCCGGAGTTGTACTAGTTCTCCTGACTCCATTATTTCCATCAGCACGTTTTGCACACGCTTTTTCAACATTATCCAAACTTCTTGTGGGCGAACTTGCTACAAACCTTGCGCGGACATCTAGATATCCCTGTTTATCGATTTATCTCACTATTCCAAGGTCACACCTTCACTGACATTTTAACCCGATCTGTACTCAGCCACTTCTCCACAAAATTCACGCTTTCAAACCTCCTTTATCAGCCTGACAGAAAATAAGAGGATTCGGCTTTACTAGTCGAATAGGTTTCGCAAAACACAATTCTAAGCATTTTCGAGATGTGATGTAAAATCAAATAGGATGCGACAGAGAGTGGAGACCTGCGAATTAACTCGAGGACAGTGGAAAGAGTTTGATTTTCAGACGGGAAGACATGCTTTATTGTCACATCGCGTGGCTGCTTGAATTTGCCCTTGGCCGGACAGAGCCTCAAATCAACGCCCAGACCACCATCGGACACCTCTCCGTGTGTTGCACGCGAGGCGACTGCGTTCATAAACCAGAAGAAGCAGACGGAGCGAGAGAGAGAGAGAGAGAGTAGGCAAAATTTCTCCAAAAATATCTGCCTCGCTGTACCTCTGTGTCAAGGGATCAGTGTAAGTTTAGCTTTTATTTACCCTCACCTCCTCTTTAGCGGGAGGGACTTCTATTCCACCCACTCTGTCTTTTTGTTCCGGCTGTGGATATAAAGCATCACCTTTATCAACGGTTTCCCCATCTCTCTTCAGCTAAAATTCTACCCACCAATCCATCAGCTCGTTGAGTAATTGTAAGTCAACAAAAGTTCAGCCCTACTTATATTGGATGTGCCTGGCAGTCAATTGTATTCCCGCAGACGGAATCGGCTAAGTTTTAAGTGGCATAGTTAAAACAAGACAAGGGGCCTCTTCACTTTCCTCACCGAATGAGGATGAAAACCTTCCACGTTGCCCTATTTCGCCTCTGATTTCTGCTTATCGTCAGCCTTGTGATCCTCTCTTCTTTGCTTCGTTCACACCATCCCCCTGCTCTCAGCCTCCTTGCACCAGAATAGCCAGATCTACATTATCTACGCCCATCGGCCCTCACACTGACCCCCAGTCCATACTCCTCCAGCTTTTCCCTTTATGATTGCCTCCCTCGTATACGTTTACAACTTCGCCGCCTCATAAGTTCTATTCGGGTGCTCTCAGCTGTGGCCACGGTATCAATTAGTAGTGGGTAGTTGAAGGAGGTGGAGGAGGAGGAGGATGAGTAGCAACATATGCAACTCCTGATGAGTTAAGATTTTCACAGGCATTGAAGCTGACCGTGCGTGATGCAAAGAATTAACTCGGGAGGAAGGGGTAACCAGTGGGAGAGTTTAAGCACAAACATTTTTTTCAGACAAAATTTTATGGTCTCCTCGCGTGGCTGCAGCAGAAACAGAAGCTGTTGCTGGCGATGCCGCTGCTTCTCCTGCTTCTTCGGGTGTTTGGCCGCTACCGGACACAAACACGCGCCACCCTTGTAGACCGCCGGACACTCCCCATCCCCTGTTCGCACGCAAGGCGATAAATTTCACACACACATACACAAGGAAGGAGAGATAGGTGAGGAAAAACTGGACAGGGCGGAAAATTGGAATCGACTGCAGTCCTTGGCTGTCGGCGTGAAAGGGTGGGAGGAGACTTGTGTTGAGTCCTTTTGGCGACAGCGTCTGTTTGATCGATTACCATCTTCATCTAACATTTGTAGCCAGGCAATGGAGATAAGGAAAGCATTTGCACTGGTTACTCACCGAGAAATCTGAGAACGACCCATGTGACTTCTCAGCCAAGATTATCTGAATGCGGTCCTAGACTAAACTAGAATTTCTGTTAAACGACACCATGCGCATGCACCGTAATAGCAAAGGAATTGAATAATGCATAACTGCCCTCAAACTGGACTCTAGGCTGCCCAACACACACGTCCATGCTTGATTCGACTTTATGCTTGATGAGGACCGTCAACGACCACGTCTTACTCAGCTTCCCGTCTTTCTGACTCTAAGGCACGTTGACACAACCCTTCCCGCTTGATTACACAAACGGGATTGTGGTGAAATCGTGTGAGCAGGACCGACAGACGCTGCGTCCATTCAAAAGGTACGGATAAGGCCCTTGAATTTTTTATGTTTTCTTTACGTAAATATTAATTGTGTTTTCGCTTGCCGGCTTCTGATCTCGCCTGGCACATTAATGTAAAATAAGCCGTAATATCCTTTGTACGTGCAGTCACTCGCATTGCTGAGATCGGTAAGCTGCAACAATGCGTGATGCTGTGACAATTTGGCGAATTAATATAATTCGTTTGCATGAGATTAGGCAACGTAATTTGGAGTCACAAACTTTAAATTACTTTTGGAAAAAAATTTAAAAAATATTGCCCGACAAAGTATGGCCTAGTGTTTTTAACCACTCTGAATCCCCACACGAAATCTCATCAGTAAGCACGAAGCGGCTTAGGTTATGTTCCTCTGGGAGACCTCGTCTTTATGGCCACTGGAAATTCCTTCTTTGTGCGTTCTTGGTGTCACCGATTATGCCCGATTGAACATGTAAGCGTGAATGGGCCATTTCGTTGCGGTGGGTGCCTGATCAAAGACATTGCGCTGCCGCTCGCTGGGTGGCGACAGTTATTCCGCATGTCGCGATGACGACAACCACTTTCGCTTGCCGCGGTGTTGCGTGACAGGCGAAGCGGACTTTCATTGTAGGCCAGGAGTAGAAGTTCAAGCTGCCTCAGGTGCCTCCGCCAACTTCCACCTCCTCGGACCGTGGAGATCGCCAGGGACAAAGGCGAAAGACAACAGGTTTCGTTGGGCGTCACACCGCATTCCTTATTTCTTGTAGACGCTACACGGAAATGCATCCAAGCTAACACAATGCCCAAAGGTTTTATCGCATTGGCTTAGTAGGAATTTCAATTATTGGGTCTTGATTGTGGTTGAGTCCTCACATTCGGTTGTGTTCCGGAAAATTTAAGCTCAAGCCTCATTTGCTGGTTACTCATAATCAATCCACTGTGGAGCTGGAAGCGTTTCATAATTAATTGGCGTTTTATTTGCAAATTATAACGGAAAATGCCCACTGAACAGTTGTTACTTACGTAGCCTCTTCTTAGCTGCATACATAATTAGGTGGTTTTCAATAAGATGACCTATATTGAATCACCACCATCATCAACATATTTTTTCAGTAAAATCAATCGTTAATAATGACCGCTTAGAACCAACTCAACCCGTCCGACATACATTAGCACAGACAAGTCGCCAAGGGGTCATATTTTTTTAAACAGGATTAAAATTAACGAAAGCAAACGGCAACTAACCGGTCTCCCCGCGCCCTCAATAAATGCACATTTTTCTTTCCGGTAAAAAACGGTAGCACAGTTGTGATTAGGCAATACTACGCAGGTGTCCTCCTTTCAGCCCCTCCGCACTGTTCTCCTTAGGGGATAAATGGGGAAGTTTATCGAGTCTGTGCTTTCGCAACTTCCCTCGAACCGGGCTGTGGGGTAATGCAGGAGCACGGAGGTGGAAGAAGGTGCCTTGTCACCAGACTGCCCTAGTTTGAAAGCGTGTCTCTTTCTGACAGCTCTGGCCCCCTAACCAATAATGCTCGTTCCCCCTACACAAACACACACACACACCGGCCATGGAAACCAGTATTCAAATGCGTTGTAGTTTGTATCTTGCAGATGGGCACTGTCCTTAAAAGGTGCAGCCTATTTTAACAAATTCCGCATCATTTAATTACTAGAAATAATTCATTTGATCGAACTCGCGTAGCTACATCTCACTGTTGAAAAGGAAGCCAGTAAGGGCGTTTTACGTGATTGTTTGGTTTACCTCGAAAAATGCTGCTTTTCATACTTCTTATTCTGCACACTTTTGACCGCTTCGCGTGCTACTGCACCAATTATTTCCACCTCCTCAGCTCCGTGGATGATTGCTTCATGATGCACCAATTGATGGAGTTCAAAGTTCGGCTGGGTGAGGCTTGATGTTTCTCACGATGCGTCAAAACACACAAACGACATTAGTGATTTCTCACGTCCTCCTGCCTGGACTTTGAATGTTGTGGAGTGTACAACCAGAGGGATTTTTGCTTTCTTGTTAAAATAAGTCGGTGAGGGTATAACGAAACATGCAACGTGGGATCGCCGCTCGCCGCGAGCATTTATGAAAATGATAACAGACTTGAGTGCAGAAGGTTAACGAACAGCTATTCTATTAGTTGCATAAATTGTACCAACTCGATAGAATGCAATTCTGTGTGAAGTATTATCAAACGACGTTTGTACATAGTTTGTGTTGACAATCAACCAGCTATTTCCTTCATAAACGCCATTTTGGTAGCGTAAAATAGTCATTTGGCTTCAATTGGAACAATTTTTTTAATCCATAATCGAGTGTTTTAAATATGCTAGATTTTAATCCAGGCGCTAGGTTTCGCTTAATACCCCTAAGTTGTTAACTTCTGTATCCATCACGTATCACGAGTTGAACCTTCGTTTCGTCATGGCGTCGGTACTCCACATGACGGCTCAGGATTAACTTTCGGCGTGGCCTTAATGATATGGCTTGGAAAAATAAACACAAAGATTACGGTAGCTGGCATTATTTGATCTGGTTTCTTGCAACTGATGAATAGAATGCCGTTCCTTTCATTGCAGTAGGGGGTTGGATGGGCGTCATTGGCATCTAGGTTTAGCTGTAGCAGGATGCGGATCGGAGGATAGCAATATTCACAACTCCATTGCTAAGTATCACAGAACCTCAGCAAATTGGACATTTTTCATAGCCTCGAAATTAGCGTTTCGCTTAATACCTCTAAGTTGTCGACCTCTATACCTATCACGCATCACGAGTTAAACCTTCGTTTCGTCGTGGCATCGGTACTCCACGTGATGGCTCAGGATTAACTTTCGGCGTGGTCTTAATGATTCGTCTTGGAAAAATAAACACAAAGATTACGGTAGCTGGTAATATTTGGTGTGGTTTCTTCCAACTGGTAATGTCACTTTCAAAGGGTACCATGGGTTCCATGGTAGTATTATTGCCGTATAGGCAAATCTATCGAAGAGTTATGTTTAAACGGAAGGTTGTATCATCGAAATAACCGCGTGGGCCAAACCAATGGTCCTCTTTAACACAATCAGCAGTCTTGAGCAGCTCTGAGTGGTTATTTGCACGTTTATCTGCACAAAGACTTCAACTTTACAACTAACCGACGTGTTTGTTTGTTCAGGTACTCAAATTACAATAAATACATGCAGTGACGCTTCGAAAAGTGTTCGTGCTTCATAATCTTCAGGGTTAGCTTAAGGCATAATACGGGGAACTAGTTTGAATTTACCACATTTCGCGCTGCGCTGTTTTGACAACTCTGGTCCAATTGGACACGGCACCTGGACGCTGGCACGGCGATGTAGCATAATTAGCCAATACTGACCAATGGTCAGCCAAATTAGACGGGAATAACCGCGTCCATCTTTCATTGGTTCGAATGGGGGGGTGATCTTAAGGGGCCAAAATGAACACTCCTTCTCAAATTGACGCCACTGACGAGCTGGTTGACGAAAAGCATTCCTGGGCGTTTAGGTAAGAGCCTGAAATGGCACCTTATTATTCAGCGTACCACAATCAGAGCTAACGCGTACACTTGAAGATTCGAATCGTGCACACTTAAAATTATATTTAACATTATGAAATAAGAATGAAGCCTCGCCGTGCATGAAATATCTGTCTCATTGGCCAGTTAAATCACCACACTCCGTGATTAGGCTTTCGTTCATTGCATTTTTAATATGACTTCTACTTATCTGTGTTAGCTAGAATGCGAGGCTTGAATTGTCCTGACTTTTTGTAATTTTTCGGATGTTTGTGATGCAGTAAAACGTATGTTTTAAATTACTGTTGACTTAAAATAGTTAGTAACGACTTGTCAGTCGTTTTGATTATTAATCTTGCTGAGCTGTTAATCGACGGTGTGTACATTGAAAGCTAATAGCTCACTGGACATGGGCAAGCACTCATTTTTGTTCTATAAATATACCGTTTACCTTGTTTATTGTAGTAATATTAATCGTTTAAGATTGGATAAACACGCTGTCAAACGTTCCTGGTTGGCTTTGTTCTTCATCTATTTCGGTGAGTACACCGGTTAGTATTGTATTTGCCATTGTTTAAAACACATACAACCTGGGAAGTGGGTCAATAATCTGAATATGCGCATTCTTGTTCTCCTACATTTTGTTATCCACAGCTGGTAATCATATGATTCTCGTGGAAAGACCGTGGATGGCGATCTGGCTCGATCGGAGTTTAAACGCCAGGTAGAAGATCAAGTCTGCATGCCAAAGACTGGAGCAATTGATCTAACCTTCGAATTTCGACCGACCTAATGATCTGAAATCAAACAAATCAGGCAGCCTGTTAGTCTGCCGTATCCCGAATCTTGATTAACATGTTCCCTCTCTGCTGACTGCAAACTGTTGGGGCAGCCCACGGCTCATGATAACGGAGACGAATTCTGAACAATCTACACTGCCGTCGCCAATGGGACTGCAAGAACTGGAGTAGAACGGTTGGACATTGGTTCTAGGATAAAGGAGTCAACATTGTTGGTTTGATTAAATAACATTTACACCACGATTTTGTCATCGCTGACGTTCCCGAGTCTAATTCCTCGATGCCTTTTTTTTATGATCAGTTACAAGTTCAAGGAAGTTCTTGCAGAAAACAATCCAGGTATTAAAATTGACCTATAAAACCGTGACAATCACAGGTTTTGCCCTTTCGGGTGTTCTAAATTCTTTAGTAGCATCAAATAAGATGCTAAATTGTTTAGCCTTAAGTAGCATATCACGACCGGCGAAGTTGAACCTCAGAAACTGCTCGTTCTTGATGCCAAACAGAGTTCGCTTCGCTGTCTGCAAATGATCTTCTCGGCCTCATTGGAGGTCTGGGGCTAACCTCGGTAAGTCATGATTCTATGAAGAGGACTGAGCATCCAACCGACATCCCACGCATTTACGACTACAACTTCTCACATCGCCGGAAAATCGAGTCCTAACGAAGGAGACTCCAGTATCACGAATCGGGATTTCGTCACTGTTTGCACAATTCCTATTACAACGCCGCTCAAGTGAGTCGTAACCCGTGGAGACTCACTGACAGCTCCATCTGTGTTGGTTCGCCTTGACGCATCAAGTTCATCCTTGACTCATTTAAACCGGCACGTTCTGACACTTGGGTCTTTGGGTAACAGCTCTCCACACGAGGTCTCGCCTTGTTATACAACAACGTGGGAATGTGGGATCTAGCGCCACACAAGGCGTCTGGGCTACCGGTTGAGTGTGTGATTCTTGTTACGGGCAAGGCGTAACAAAACCACAACACAACTTCGAGGAAAACACGAACGGACTAACAGCTTGTTGTGGGCCCCAGCTTGTGGTCTTGAACCACGCCGGGGCCACGGAATTAACCCAGGCTCGATTACTCTTGCTTAATACCCGTGATGAAGAAAAAGACCAGAGAGGACGTGGACACAGCCGTTTACTTCAGAACTCAGCCACGTTGGTGTCGTGTGTGGGATTTGCGCGTGTGTATTTATACCTCGGATGTGTGAGTCATACATGCGCTAACATCGAGACCTTGGTGTGAGGATAATCCAAGATCAATACTCGTGTGGATGAGGGGGGAGTTGAGGATCTGCGTGGCTGGCGACATGCTGCGAAAAGGGGAACCCTGTGTCGGAGGTTGGAGCGACCGGATTAAGGGGTGTGAATAAACACAACTCACAACAAGCTAACGGTGTTTTTGCATTACGCTGTACAAATTGACTCCGAAATGAAGTTGATGCATTCCAACCCCCTGTGCCCAATTTATTCCACTGCGTTCTCATTCACTGAATGTCACTCAATTGTTATTAAAGATTTCAATTATCGGATGGAGGAACTGGTGTGTCGCCATCGGATTGTAACTTTTCTGATCCTATGAACGAACCCGCACCCCAAAATACTGGTGATTCAGCCATGAAAGCAGTTAATTTTTTGAATGTTTTCTAATTCACTGGGAATCCTCCACACAAGTGCTCCGCTGTGATTGGGCGAAATACAGCCCAACTCAAAGAAGACGGAGTCCCCAACCGATTACATTGTCAAACCACTCGTCAACTCAAGAATGGAACACAGAAGAAAATCCACTCAGATTTCCTCACAATCAACGGTTCATTTAATCTTACGCTCGTGGTTTTGGTTACATTGGCTTTCCACAATCGCATTTACAAGCTCCGATTAGTGTAATGACATCCGCCTGCTCGTTGACAGAGCAGACGCCCTTCCTATTCCACACTAACAGACTGACGTCCATCTTAGCATCCGGTCTGAACCAAACTTTCCCACCGTCCGCCAATGAGGCGCTCTGCGGTTACAAATCTAATACATCAGAACAGCGAACGAGGATTTGTCGTTTACTTGTGGTGGCTTTGGTTGCCCTACGAGCCTTCTAGTTTGCAGGACGCAACAAAACACAGCAGCGCAGGGTCCGGCGTGCATCGAATGACACTTTATTGCAACGCACAAGAGCCTAACAACTAGTACAACCTCACACAACATGCACTCTTTTGATCAAGTATGCGGCAACGTGGTGGCAATGGGGCAGGAGGGGTGGTGGTAGGGCGGCAAAATACGCGTACAAAAGTGAGAGGAGGCGGAGAAGGAGGAGGAGAAGAACACGCCAGGCCCAGCGTTCACCGCCGCGAGGTGCCGTAGCGATTTTGGTAGTCGCGTCGGCGAAACGGTGAGGGAGGGCGGCGCAGGGTCACACGCGAGGGCCCGCCGGAGCCGAATTCTGACAAACAAAGGCATCAAGAAAAGACCAATCAGCAAGAGGTTTTCTCCGGAATGACCTTACCGTCTTGATTAGTTAAGTGGGCTGCAGGGAATAACCACTTTTGGTTGGCAGCCACGGCCCACGGAAATTGCATTCAACTACACAACAATCATCGGGACAACTGCAGCCACTAACAAGCCTTCCCGTGCTGGGAGGAATGGTGGGGGCAATGAACAACGCACGTGAATCCGCAGATCTACAAGTGTGGGCTGGGGAAGTGGAGAGTGGCGAAAGGAAAGAGCATTACCGAGTCTGGAGAGCGGCGGCGACTTCCTCAGGGCGGGAGGGACGACAGGCGAGGTTGGGGAGCAGCTGCGGCTTGTGGAGGAGCGCGAGGGCGAGAAGGACTGTCTGATTCCGCGTTCCGCCAGACGCTTCTCAATCTCCCGTTGACGCATCTGTGCGGCCAGCTTCCGAAGACCCTCCTCGCGGTCCTGAAGTGGGGAAAGAAAAACCTGGCCTAGTGACGCACAAGTTGACTTCGGCAATCCGCACACCGAGGAGGCTGTTTCCAGCCACGGCCACGCACACCAGCATGACCTCTCCGACGGTAACGAATTTCCGAAAAAAACAAGCTAGGCAATAGAGGGCCCGGCCTCGGCACAAAACACAATTGGTCTCTCTGTGTCGAAAATGGCCGCCCTCAGAAGTTGGTCCGATTGATCAGCAGCTGTGACGCGCCGCTAGTACATCTCCGAAGACATCATAGCTCCAGCACAAGAAACAGCAGTAAGGTGCTAAACGGAAATAAATTGTGGACGGGGAGGAAAGCAAACCCACCATACGCTCCCGCTCCTGCTTTTCCAAACGCTCCAGTTCGGCCTTCTTTTCGGCGTTAACTAAAAAGGAAACAGGGCGAAGTTGAGGGCAGGCTCAAGTTAACCGCTGCAGATGCTACAGACGGAGCACACTGCACTCTACACTGTAGTTTCGGGGTGTTTTTTTTTCTGTTTGGGACGTCAACATTCCCTCAGCTCTGTCCACACAATCGCTTTGTAGACCGTCACATCGCATCGTTGTTCACTCAGCGTTAATTACTCAACTCAATGACCCCAAATCGCCCAAGCACGCGCAAGTGGGCGCGTCTGGGCATCGACTCGACTTCCACTTTCGGAACATCTTGTACTAGATCCGTTAGTCCATACAGTAAAGCCCTTTGCACAGGCACTAGTCCTCTCTTATTCTGGGGAAAACAAGGGATTTCAGCATTGCCTTGGAGATTTTCATCAACAAGTTCCAACCAAGCGGATGGATTGATGGCTTACAGCCCAAACAGCGCGGGGAAAAAGACGAAAAGAGAGGGGGGGGGCGGTGGAGATAACTACTATGGGGAGATTCAGGCAGCGGTTTTAATGAAGGTGAGTAACAAACAAACACAATGCCAAAGTTGGCGATTTTGGGAGGACAAAAAGAAAACGGAAATAATGAGAGCACGTCGGCCAAAGTCACGAAGCTTGTGTGACAGACCAGTGGGTCACAGGCGCACAACAAAGTGGTTAACTTCGATGAAAAAAAGGGGCATCCCCAAATGAGAGTTTACAGCCGCAGTGTGATTGGCCACGTCGATGTGTTAAAGTGGCATGCGGTGAGGACTTGAACCATGCACACAGCGTAGGGAGGACGGGAGTTGAGTCAGACAGTTTAATCACACACCCGTACCACCTGTTAGACCTAATTAAAAGGAGTTTTTTGCATGGCACAGGGTGGTGCGCGAATCGCACGGCTACCACTGGCACAACCGGCGAAAGAATCGATCAATGCCTCCAGCATCGATTGGGCAACAACAGACGCAACCGGCAGCAACCATTTACAACAAGCACAGGCGGACAAATTAACAGTTGCTGGAACAACCCGAAGGCTTCGCTTGGCACGAAAATGGGAAATGAGAAAATAGGAGGCCAGAATGTACCTGTCTTGTTCAATTGAGCCTGCATTACCCTCTTCAGCACCTCCTTGGGAGTCAGCTTAGACGCATTTGACGACAGGGACTTGGTCGCGGGTGCACGGGAAGTGGTTTCCTGAAACCGAAACAGGAAGAGTTAGCGAACCTACTGAATTGAATTTCAGTAGACAGGGCCTCTAACACTCGTGACCACGCCTAGGGACTACAAAGAGAAGGATAGAACACAATGTCAGAAAAAAAGACCCTATTAAGAGAAAGTGATGAGTAACTAAAAGTGTTGTTACAAATTAGGCTGAAATGAGGAGTAAAGAAGATTAGAAGTGGGCTAAGTTAGAACTGGAGAATTATGAGTAGAAGAAGGCAAAGACGGGACCAACGACAACCGAAAGCGCACACAGATTCTCACTTGGTACGGAAAGATGATCGAAGCACTATTGGTCATTGGATGAGTTGACAGAATCAGACAAGCTTTAAACGGGTTTTGGTATTTTCCTCAAAATAACACACTCTACTTAAACAAAATAAGTAGATACACAATTGAAATGTTCCCAACAGGCCAGAGGAGCTGGGTGGAAAACAAGCGAAAGACGACAACAGAACTGACTTTGCTCATGGAGGAAGAAGAAGAAGTGGTGTGGGGGTTAGGAGGATTGGAATATCGATCGACCGGGTGTTGGTAGGAAGATGAGGCTGTTCTCTTACCCCCGGAGAGAAAATCACTCGTCTCGTCCTGGCTGTCAAGGTATCTGTGGAGAGAATAATTAGGCGCGTAGCAGTAAGTGTAAAATACTTCCTGGTTTTATGCACCGAGGGAGCCTAACGCATCCACCACTAACATGCCTAGAAGCTACCATGGCCTGTTCGAAGAGGACTGAGGAGATGGCGTTTGACACGACACACTGGCGGAAGTACAGTTGAGTTGTGCTGCAAAAGCACCGTCTCTACGTGCAATTAATCCTTTCAGCAATTTATGAAAAAAAGTGGTATGACCTCTTTTTGAGTCAGGACGCAATGAAAGTAACAACATGAGGGAGAGGTTTACCTGGCATCTGGCGAGCTTGAAGAGAAGGAAATGAAACAGAAATGGGTTAGGAGAGAGAGTACTTTGGTCAAGGCTGGTCTGAATGAACGCGCACCGGCACGAGGGTCAGTGTATTTTGGGCAAAAACAACGCCTACGTGGCTTCCCTATGAAACGGTGCTTGAGGAGGGTATCCTAAGACTCAGGAAGCCTCACCGAAGGTAGAACTGACACACCAGCTGCGTGCGCCGCTAAACTATGGGCTACAGTTACACGCGCTGCCGCAAGGACACACTTAAAGATTTAAAACAACTTGGAGGTGGGATCTGCACCGAGAGGAATCTTTCCTACAAACCTACGCCTCAAAAGACGTGCGCAAAAGTCGGCTTAACGGGGGGAGATATAGGAGGTGGGATTACCTTCGTCGGCCGTCCGGTTCCGTGGCGGTGGAGCGGCGTTGTGCGTAGTAACTCGTTGAGGCGCAGTTGGCAGACGACGAAGAGGGCTTGTGCTCGCTGTCCGAGTCAGACGACGACGACGACGACAGCTTGTTCTTGTCGTCGTCCGATTCCAAGTCACGTCGGTAGTAGCGCTTTATCGGCGCCGCCTCAGCCCTGCACAGAGGAAGGCACAAGTTGCCCCAGCACGAATATACTACTGATAACCACGCCCGAATGCACGCCATATCGATCTCTTCACGGAAATCAGAGTTTATTGAATAAGCACTCAGTAAGTGTGACAACACAACGAAGAATCCGAAGAACACGACCGGATAACACAAGAGTGGGAACAGACTGCGCACTGCCCAACTCTCAACAGTAAACATCCTCTTGTAATTAAGCTTTCGATTACCGAAGACAGAAAACTTCCCGGCTGAATGCGGAAGAAGCCAGCTGAGATAGCCACCAAGTTATATCAGTTTAAAGGAGCCGTTGTTAATCGTGTTTATTCACACCACTTAACCCGATCGCTTCACCTCCGACACGGGGTTCCCCTTTTCGCAGCATAGCGCTAGCCGCGCGGATCCTCAACTCCTCCCTCATTCACATGGCAATTTGTCCTGGATTACCCTTACACCTGGGTCTCGATGTTAGCGCATGTATAACTCACACATCCGAGGTATTAATACACACGCGCAAACTCCACACATGGCAAACTACACCAACGTAGTTGAGCTCTGAAGTAAACGGTTGTGTCCACGACCTCTCCGGTCTATTTCTTCAGCGCGCGTATTAGGCAAGCGTAATCGGGTGAGGGTTAATTCCGAGACCCCGGCGTGGTTCAAGACCACACAAGCTGGGGCCTACAACAGAGCTAATGAATGCATGAGAGCTTACTCGCCACCGCTTCGGCTTCGTGATCGGTTCCTGAAGGCGGCCGTGCTGTCCTTCTGGACCGGTGACGTGGACCGAGAGGAGGACGAAGACGAACGACGACGGTAGCACCTGGTGGAGGACCGTGAGGACGAGCGTCTAGGTCGACGTGAATATCGACGCTTGGATGGAGACGACGACCTTGAGGAAGAACTTCGACGACGGAGAGAGGAGGAGGAGGGGAGCCTTCGACTTAATCGATAAACAAATTAACAGGGTTTCGAGAGACGCCTGTGGAATTAGATGTTACAGGTAATGCCGCTAATATTTAGTGCTTCGGTCCAAGTCTAACCGCCAAGTAAGTCATTTGCTGCCAACCGGCCGGAAAAACTAACAGGACCTGGTTCAAGAACAGGGCACAATCACCTAGCAGCGTTCGCAAAAATGCAGAACATGGATTAAAAACTAACTTCGAGGAAGTGCTTCCAGTAGGTTTAGTTTTTAAGCTTTCACAAGCAGCCGAAGCTGATGGCGTTGCGGACTTATGACCAGCTGAGGCTGAATCCTTAAACAACGAGGAGACAACGGAAGCCGCGAGTTTGGAGGCAGTGTCGCTAGGACGTCCAGATGAGGAGGGAGCGCAGCCCGGGAACTTGGAAGGCGAAAGACCCCTGCCGACGTCCTGGTCGTCTTCGTCATCGCCTTCGCCGAAGGTCGTGATGTACTCCACTTTGGAGCGCTTGGAACTTCGGTGGGGTCGGTTGCTCGAGCCACGGGAATCCTAGGGACAAAAGGACGCAGTGATGTGAGCGTCGACCAAAGCTAACAGACAAACTGAAGTCACAAGAGCAAGCATAAGGGAGGTTAAAAGGCGCGGTTTGGTAAGTGTTGCGGACACGGCAAGGATGGAATACCACACAAAGTAAGGATGTGTTGTGAATTGCGTTGATTCACACTCGCTAATCCGGTAGCTCCATCCTACAACACAGGATCCCCCTTTTCGCAGTACGTCGCCAGCCGCGCAGATCCTCAACTCGCCCCTCATTCGCACGAATATTTATCTCGGATTACCCTCACACCTAGGTCTCGATGTTAGCGCATCAACAAGGCATAAATACACACGCGCAGACCCCATACGCGGCTCAATGACACCAACTTGGTTGAGCTCAGAGGTAAACGGTTGTGTCCACATCCTCCTATCCTTTTCTTCATCGCGGGTATCAGAGAGGCGTAATCGGGCCAGGGTTAGTTCAATGGCCCCGGCGTGGTTCAAGACCACATGCTGGGGGCCCACAACAGATGAAATCCTACGCATTTATTCAGTGAAGTCAAAAGTGGGCAATTGAGATGGAAGGGAGACTACAACATCTGGCTCAACGCTGTCCAAACAATTCGTGAGTCGCAACAAGCCGTAGAAGGTGCGAAAGTCTGGTCTTTAATAAAACCTGCGTAATAGCATGACGTATGACTGTTGCTACGTGGATAGCAAAATCCAGAGACAGCAAAAGGGTGAATAGCTTACCAAACACTACTCAGAGTGGACAAGAATGAGTGCTCGCCAGGTGTGCACCAATGTCGAGTCCAGCACTAACAGGCTAGGCTACCTTGAGATGCTTAGATGAAAGGTGGGAACACCACACTCAAACAATTGACTAGTAGCTCAGTAGAAACCATGGAGATGTGGCGACACCAATACATATTCTGGCCTCAGTAAGATTGACCTATACAGCGGTGAAGCGACTCGAGCATTGCGAATCGACCACTGCATCTACCACTAACCGAAAGCTATCCCCTTGAATATTGAGGAAACAGCCTCGCCAGAATGCACTGTACACTTCAACGTGGTACATTGCAGTTGATCGCTCGCAGCGTCCTTGCAAAATGTGCGACAAGCGGCTACCGCACTATTCCATGTGACCGACCTGGTTAGACCGATTGCTCGAATGAAAACGCAACGCCTGTACACATTGCATTGACAGGAATTCATGTGTGAGATTTCCCAGCGTCACGGAGTAGGCACAACCGAAATCAACCAATCAACGTGGTTCATGAATCACAACGCCAACAGGGCTTGACAATTGACCAGAGCCAAAACGCATGACTTCAGGATAGGAGGCCAAGAGCACATCTGTAAATAACAGTAGCAGCTTAGCATGACATGACACATGTTACAACATCTCACCCCTGAACTCGAAGACGATCTCGACCGACTGCCAGCCCCTTCGCCGTACTTCCGCCTGGGTCTTTCTCGAAACCGCCTGCGGCGTTTCTTCGGATCACAGAAGGCAACCAGAGTGAGGCCGCCAATCAGCACGGCCGGACGCTTTGACTCGAAGAGGGCCGGTTTGGTGCGCGCAAGCTGGCTCGTCGGGGTGTTGCGGTAGCGGCGGGCGCGGTCCCGTAGCCGCTCATCTTCCTCCGACGAGGGCGACCCGTAGCTCTCCGAGTCCGACGACGCACCGGACAGGTACACCTTACGGCTGAAGGAAAGAAAACACGTGCTAAACGCATGCATGGAATCAACAAGACACGCACAAGTTATCACGTTGATTGGTCATTGGAGTTCATTTTGTAATCAAGGTGACGGAAGCTGCAATCCAAACCCAATTTAGAAGCTCTGCCGCCCTCCATGGCCTGCTAAATTGACCCCAGCAAATTTTCACCGTTTCCAATTGCTAACAAACTACTTGCATGAGGATTCGCTCAATGTTAGACGAATTATTTTTGAGTTAAGGCCTGTCGGAGTGTATCGCAGAGGCAGCGAAAAACTTGCTAACCGATGGGGAAAAGTTAAATTTAATGTAATCTACAATGGACTATTCATGAGGCTAACACTAGTATTCAACAGGTATGAAACAGCATCCGCCTAAAAACGGCTCAAATACCAATCTGAAACTTAACCTAAGGGCAATTCAATCTACGCAAATTGAATGCACAGAAACCAATAATAAATACTGATATTGTTAGAGCGTTCAAAAATCGGAATGAATACGTACCGAGTAATTGGTTGTCCGTTGAGCAACCCGATTCTGCAAAATAAGGTGGAATGTTAATTTTAAAATGCCCGTCAGAGAAAAGATTTGAAGGTAGCAGGAGAACCGCTTATCACACACTAACAGGGGGTTCAAGGCTAGAGCACATTTTGATCAGCTTGACAAGGGATTCGTCAGAAGAGGTGGTCTAGAGACGAACACGGACGATGGGCAACAGAAACCTCTGCTGTTCGTGTCTGGTAACAATTCGGTTTGCCAAACAAACTTGGATCATTAAACTAGAGGTTAACTTCGTAGTTAGACTGACAATAGCATTTAACCTGATCAAAAATTTAGAAAAAAAATTGAGGAAGAAGAAGGCGCCCGTCATACAACAGAATAACTCCAGGGGACTGAAGGGGCCAAGGGACGTCACAAAGATTAAGGGAGGAGGACTTGGTGCTCACATACTTCGGTCCATGAACAGGAGCTGAATACTTATCAAACGGTTGCCGAACTCGGGGGTGAGGTCTTCGTCTGGGTTTTCTTAGCTAAAAGGCGAAATTATGGGGAAAGTAAACGTGTCAATGGGAAGAGCCTAGAGAAGGGGGTGTAAAGTGGTCCAACATTGATCTAAACCAAGCCAGAATGACAACCCAAAGCTGGGTTATCTACTGGGTTTTACAAAAAGAAGATTTGAGTCGGCATGAACACCTACTCGGAATTAGTGGCCTTTCAAAAATTCTAGGTAGAAGTGTGGCTCATTTCAGTAGAAGCGTACATCTCATATTTAAATTATGAACCTTAACTTTACACACGAGGCTTACGTGTTGCGACTTCTCCTCTTCCAGCAGTTTGGCCATACGGAGTTCCGTCTCAAGAACCTGGTCGGCATCGAGAAGACGAATGAAGTCGGAACGCTTCATTCCGTACGTGTGAGAATGATCGATCAGCTCCTGGCGTTGCTCAGCTGTCAGAGACTCCAGGTCTAATTCAACGTCTAAAAGGGAATGGGATTTGAAGAATCAGGGGCGTTGCTGAACAGAAATTGAACAGAACAGGAGTCCAGCAGTCGAGTTACGTCCCCGACCACATTAATGCACAAGTTCAACATTCGACACCTTGTCAATAGCCCCAATGGGAGCCTACTTAGTTTCAACTTACGCGTAACATGCTGCTGCCACATGAACAAGATACATCAAGGTGCCATTTTGAGACGCGTTATTCCAACGACGAACCAGTACAAAGTGTTCCATGAATCGATTTGCAAATTAATCGAAAAACAACGTGTCCGTTTGGATTGAGAGACTTCGCCAAGAAAACGCCTTAAACTCCGTCTACACAGTCGATGAATTGGCGTGGCGGACGGCTATATTCCGTCATATGATCGCGCATAGCACTGTAATTTACAACGGACACAAAGCTGATATATGTGTATCGAACCTAACATACCAATATCCATATCGCTGTCCATATCGGAATCCTCTGACCCGGATTCAGCAGCTGGCGCTCTTTTCGACGGTGGAGGTGCCGACGACCTGCCACTAACGATCTCACCATCTTCGTAGGTAAATCCAATGGCAGCTTTGGGTTCCGATGGCCTGGGGAGGATAAGGCAAGTAAGAGGTGCGCTATATCTTTCACAATGCATGTTTTTTTTTATGAACATAACGAAGGATTTATGCTAGTTAACTGGATGCGAACAACGCGGACACCACCTTAAATAGAGGTAGACTAGCACATTTTTGGCATAGGATATGGGCACTTTATGTATTTGGCCAACTGCAAGAAATTCCAGCTGTACCAATGGACAACCGAACGCGCCAATACGTAAATCATAAAAAACAGGGGGAGTTAATCGACATACTTTTTGTCCTTAGAATCGTCGTCGTGTTTCCTCTGCAAGGTATCACCATACTTTTCCTCCCGTTCAATTTGCTTGAGAGCCATTGACTCCGTCACTAGAAGTATGAAAAAAAAGTTAGGAAAAGTGAAGTTAATCCCTCGTATTATCAAGGAAATATAGATACCTTCTAGGAAATCGTTATGCGCAAGGCATCTGTAACGTTCATAATTGCAGAGGCGTTCCTCGATTTTTTCCGCAGTAGAGAGCCTGGTGGGAAACGAACACGATAAGCACACTTTTCGATAAACAAGCAAAGTTAAACCATCATATAGCAGACTTGATTTCGGTAGGTTTTGCGGAGGAATAGGTTTCAAGGTTCGCTCTGGCATCGAAGCGATCTATCATGATGGATGGGTCGCCAGTCCATGGCATCCTAAAATAATTAAGAATTATTTAAAGTTAAAGCCCAGGTAATTAAAATTAAGTGTATTGAAAAGAAGCATATATGAACAGAGTCAACTGCATTAGGGAAAACGGTACAATATTTAAGCCAAACACTAAGTTCTTTTGGAAACTACAATAGAGGATAAAAAATATTTGAGTGTACATGAGGCCAATAAAATCAAGTTAATCGAAAACGGTACACAAATGACAACGTTTTATCAGGTTTAAAATAATCTATGTTCAAAGTTGCCCACACGCCAAATCAACATGGTTTGATTTTATTCAAAGTGAAATCGGGATTGTCATTCCCATCCCTGACTGATAAAAATATACTTACATGTTATTAGGATTCTCTGCTGCCTTTCGCACCTCCACATCTAGGTTTATTTTCGCAGGCGTACCATACACCCTCAGGAATTTGATAGGGTCTTGTCGCTAAAGCACAGGTTATAAGGACATTAACTTACAATCTGAGAATAAAAATTGAGTCGGCGCTCGGCTCTTTTTCGGTAGTCCACCAAAACTGAACGAATGTGTCGTTCGTGCTTTCGTGCTTCTTGCCACATCTTAAATGAAAAGAGAAACGAAGCTATCCAGAGAAGCTTTTTGAGTTTCCCACATAATCACCATTCAATAAAACAAGGTTTGTGATGGCTATAACTTAAGTTAAGTTGTTCAATAAGAACCGTGATAATTGTGCCTTAATATGGTTAAAAATATATAAAGCATTACCTGGAATGAGTTCTGATAACATAGTACACGGTACTTCACCTGAATTTTGTGTGGTAGTTAATTTATATAAAGCTCCAATTTCTAACCGGTCGTTTTTTCACCCAAACGCTCTCCCTTGAGTACAATGCATTACTTCCTGATGGTCAATTTCGTTGGTCCGTATGGGTTCTTGAATTAGATTTTTCTGTTGAAAGTATTTTCCCGAATGTTCGTCAGGACTTTATTCTTGCAGTAGATGGGCAGCATTTTTAGAGTTTGTTAATTCGTAATATATTTTTAGAGATCAAGTATTTCTGACCTATAGCCAAAACCCAGCTCAATTTTCACAATGATTGACTTGAATTTTGTATACTAAACTCTTATCAGCCAAAACACATATAAGTAAAAGCCATGTTATGTAAATCCCTTGGGTATGAAAACAATTTATTTTTTCACTGTAAATAATGGATCATACATGCTGGTTAATTTAAATGACAGGTATGCTGACCACCATGCGAACATTCTCACCAGCCATGAGCGATTACGAATTCGATTATCTTAAATTAAATTCACGTTAAAAGATCGGATCCCATGCGCTTTTATTTTAATTGAGCCCTGTCACTCCGACAGACCACATTCTTACCGTAATAATAATTCGGTTGATCCCCTCGTTGGCTATAATGGTCTTCTTTCCGCCTCGAGCCTAGTCTGTGCAAGTTAAAATTAAAAATCTAGTACCCCAGTTTTCCCTTAAAGTTATCAAAAAATTTTATTTAGAGCTTAATCCAAGTTGATTTAAGAAATTTGAATAATCGACCCAAACTATTTTTAGGCAGCGCTTCAGCATGCTCATGGTTCCCTAGATTTACTTGGAACTGTAGAGCATTACATTAGTGGAGTCTTATGAACTTTATTCCTGACACAGGAAGCATTTATTGGCTTTCTTTTTCGCTGTCACTTTGTCCTTACTTTTTAACAAGTAACGTCAGGTTGGTTGATTTTGGTTGTGTCTATTTAAATTACTCCATAGTATGTCATCTGTGGTACCTCCGCTTTCACTCTCACTTCACTTTTGTTGGTATCTTTTGTAGTTTAATAGGGTTAATCAACATTACAATATCGATATGGAATAAAAATGGGCTACGAGCAAATATTTTCTTGTACTTTGTATCTTAAACAAAATGTAAGCATTTGCGAGTATTTCATTTTTATTTACAGACTTTGTACCTGGTAAGAGGAAATATTGTGGAAAGGCTATTCCACAAAGAGTACAACATCTTGCATAGCTAGTGATTAGTGTGCTTATGTTATCTAAATGAGTTAAAGCACATATAATGATTTTGATAGACATTAATTGCAAGACACGATTAAAAATAGTTCCTGAAATAGTTACATTGTGAGTGCATTTGATGGACAAATTATCTGGCCCTTAATTTATGACTTCAATTTAATTAATGGAACAATTTTTCAGGGTTGCCATTGGACTTACTAATGTGAATAGACCGAGCACTCATTTTTTTGAAAATTTACAAATGATGTTGAAGTCTGCATGTGTTTCAACATGGAAAAGAGAGAAAATCCTTGCTGAACGCATGCTTTCTCGTTCTAAATTTTGTTAACTTTGGTGTCAAATATTAAAACGACAAATCCGTTTTAGCCCCCTCAAACTAGTACCAACTTTTTTGAGGCAATAATTGTGATTCTCTAGACAATGTGACATGACACTGATGACAAAGGCAGTACACATTAGTCAGTTAAAGTAATGATGTAATGGGTTTTACGTACGTTTCTACTGTTAGCGGCATCACTAAGCAGACAGGTAGAAAGATTCTCAAGAGTGGAATAGTGTTATTTAGTTTTTTGTATAGTTCTTAAATCACCGTGATCAAATCTCCAGAGTAATTCACAATAAAAACTGCTAAATGAGCCGTTGATATTAATCAAAACTCACACAATGAAAACCTCTAACATCGGAGTATAGGAACACGCATGGACCTCAAGCCTTACCTAACGGTACAAAATTTGACAGGGCTAGAGAAAACCGATGCTGTTTTTGTTGTTTGAAATAATCATGTCATAAACACTATGAAAGATATCCGATACGGCCTCAATAATCTATGTAACAGATAGTCAGGGTCAATAATAAAAGGCAAAATGTGCTAATTAGAAGTAAGAAAGAGGAAATTTAGACGAATATGGTTCGAGTCAACTGGAAACATTTTTACAAACGCATCTGATACGGCATGGACTGTCGCGTCAAATAGTCATCGTGGTTCCTAACCATCGATAAAACTTTTTTTGTGGTAGCCCGCTTGTAATTATTCCAAATTAGGTCAACTAAAATTCGGGCACTCAAGAAACGTGACCATTAAAGAACGGTTCATTGTAACTTAGCCTTCGCCTTAATTCGTGAACGACCACTGAATTCAGGAAAGTGAAACTGGCTAAAACAGCCGAAGTCGATACGATTACCACAGGTTTCTGCTGTTAGACAGATTCACGCGTACTCATTGGCTGAAAAATTCCAAAATCGATTTGCTTAGAAGGGATACGCTTGCACGTTCAGTTTTAGTTATTTGTAGTGATTGCTGGTAGGTGATTCGAAGTGTATCCTTTAAAGACAATTGCACGACAGATATTATAATCTGTGTGATGAACCACACATTAAGCGATTGACAAATCTTCTGAAATCTGTCTGTATGGCAAATAAGTCAAAGAATTAGTTATATTAACATGCAAAAAAAACAACCAGCACACGAAAATAATTTGGGTAAAACGTCACTAAGACCAGTGAAACTTTAACTTCTTTAGTCCTAAACCAAAGATGTTGAAAAGTAACCAAACTAAGCAACATTTTCTGTTTGGTCGATAGGAAAATAAAAAGAGCGAAACGACACCATTTATTTACCTTTGAAGTTGCTAAAGTACAAAGAGTACACACAGTTCAAATAGGCATTCGCTGTCAGAATCTGCGTCAAAGCTCAAATGGCAATTTGGCCAAAATTACGAGTATTAAGAAATAGCACCAAGTTTTAACTAGCATTAATACTTACTCATAAATTTTCCTTAAATTAACAAAATTGAAACTTAGAAAGGGGCAATGAGTAGCGAACTTGAGTAGGTATTTGTTCGAACATGCTGGAATTCCATGACAGAGTCCCAGCATTAAGAAATTAGCAATTATGATACACAACACAACAAGCCGACTTCTCTCCGGTAACGCCAACTGACTGAAGTCTGTGAAAACACGTAAACTGTCGTGTAGAGTTTGAAAAAAGTGCCTATTTGGTGTCTTTCGGGTAACGTGGAAAAAAGGTTAAAATACAGCTCTAGAGTCGATAGCATGTAGATGAAGTGCGTTAATTCACACTTGCTAACCCGATTACTCCAGCCTCGGACATATGGCCCCCTTTTCGCAGCATGTTGCCAGCCGCGCGGACCCTCAACTCCCCCCTCATTCACATAGGTATTCATCTTGGATTATCCTCACACCTAGGTCTCGATGTTAGCGTATCTATGACTCACACATCTGAGGTATAAATCCATACGCACAACGCTACCCATGACACAACGACACCAACGTAGTTAAGCTCTGAAGTAAGCGGTCGTGTCCACGTCCACTCTGGACCTTTTCTTCATCGCGGGTATCAGAGAAACCTAATCGAGCCAGATTCAATTCAGTGTTCCGATTCAGAATATAAGCCGGGGATTTGCATGACTGGCTGGAATCTGCCGCAATGTTGAGATTGTGTGAGCAATGAGTAGAGTTTTTCCCCGCTTACCTATTTCAATTTTTTTAATTTTAAATCTTCAACTTGAATTGTGGAGAGTTGAGGCAGCATCATGATGTGTTTATTTGTTACGCGTATAAACAGAAAAGGTCAGTTGCCTTGAATTACACAAACACAATCGAGTACTTTTAGCAGGGTAACTAAGACTTCCCTATAAATGCACCCCCGATTTCGCCATCAAGGTTACGAGTTTTCGGATCCTGCTTTCATCCAATGGCCCGTTTGTTCGTGCTACTCGTCCTCTGTGCTTTCGTTGTCAGCGCAGCTCCGTGAGTAAAATCGTGCGACTTAATTTTAATTTAAGCACATTGGATGTGATAAATTGTTGTGTTTCTCTGTCTACGGACTTAATGCATGTTTTTCACATAAGCATCAATTAGAATTACACTGAAAGTCCAAGACTCCACACACGCGGACAGAACTTTCCAATTTAAGGCTGATTTCACCAGATAGGTAGTGAAGAGTAGGTGTCTAGCGTGAAATGGAAAAGCCGTATTTAGCCAAACATATCCCATTGGATTTGAACTTCTGTTGTGGGTTTATAATACGGTTTACGCATTGCAGCACTCTCATTCATGTCCTTCAGAGTTTAAGCCCTATTCCGGATAAAAATTTACGAAAATAAATTTAAATTTCCCGAGCACTGATGCCGTCCGTCATAATTTCCGTTGAAAAAATCCAAACGTAACGTTAGCGCAATTACAAAATGAACAAGGAAGCAGATTTATGCGTGAATGTCACCGCTGGTGAAATATTCTGCGATTCGCGGGAACCCGTTTAATTAAATGCACCTAAATTGTCCATAGAACTATTCTTCTTTCCTTGTGATTTGACGAATTTCCTATCATTTTTTGGTTTTAACTAAAACACAGTTACCTTCTGAATGCATTGACTAAACTGCATCATTTAGTTTTGGCCATATATCCTTGAGATGCGGCGAGACCAGCAAGGTTTCATGGGGCAAGTAAGGAAAGGAGAATGCGCTACTTACTCAGTTCTTGATGACTAATTGACTGGCCTCGCCTTAATTTTTAGTGGTTCATCAATGGGCACCTAAAACTTCCACTGGGCACAGTAAACCGACCAATGTTAAACACCAGAAATTAATATGACCTCCACTGGTGCTCGTCACAGTGACCGTGAAACACTTTAAACCACTTGTAAATGTTTGTGCCAACTAAAAGTGCCTACGTTCATTTACGTGTGTATTTATGAAGGTGTTTAACCCATAATTCTTTAAACAATGAACACCCAACACTCAATCGCATTTTTTCTTTCTACAGACAAGAAAACAGTTTACATGCCAGGATCCGGGCTTGCAAATTCCACCTTGGAGTCGACGTCCATCGAACCACGCCCTCCAGGCCCGGATCTAAAGACCAAAGTTCTGGACACTCCGGCAGTCGCTCAACATTGCCTCCTGACAGTGGACGTGGACTCCGTGATGCAAGACTTCCTGAATACGGGTCTAGAAGGCCAGGTTGTAACATCTGTGGTCATGGACTAGGAAGTCGCAATGACGAAAAGCGTGACTACTTGCCTGACTCTGATAGTCGTGGTGGTGAACACTACAGCCGAGAACATGGAACCCAAGGTTCTGAAATGGCTGGCTATGGATCCGGAAGTCGTGGAATCATGGGATCTTCGCATGGTTTGGGCAGTCATGGCCGAGGATTCGGACTGTACAGCACTGGAGGGTCCAACTACGGACACGGAAGTACTGGTGGTAAACCTTTTGATCAAGATATTGCATTTGTTGGTGCGTCAGGCCAAACCAATTACGACACGGAAGACCGTTACCATGGCTTTGGAATCGGCGACACTGAAAGCCAAAAGTACGGAATGGAGGATCGCAGTAGTGGATTCTCATCCTATGGGTCGGGACTGCACGAAAGTGCAGCCGACGAATAATAACGAATATTTTGAGGCATACAATATCTCCCTTTCTGAAACCACAAGTTTAATTTACTAGACTGTTCTCTGTGATTGTTATACTGTTGACCTAGATTGCGCGGTCGTTTATTACATGTTTAATCAATGAGGTGTGTGCGTTATTTCAATTTTAACGGATACACACAGCAGCCGCGTCAGGGACTGCCTGTGTTGAGAAAATGTCCCGACTCGACCAGGGTGGCAAAATTTGTTTAAAATGTTAAAAATTCCAGCGCATTTTTTAAATCCACAGTTCTCAGTAGGTCTTTAGCCACCTCGTTTAAGTCAAATTTCAAGTTTCTGCAAGTGGTTGATTTTCTAATTCCGTGGAGTCATGTCAAGGATTTGTAGTGAATCGTGTTCATTCACGTCCAATAACCCCATCACCTGAAGTGTCAACATCCAAATTATTCCCACTAAGACAACCACGGCCAGCTTAACATTAATTATGGATAAAATCGTAAGTCTTGACCACCAAACCGAAGACCACGCACGACTAGAGAAATTGATCAACCACCCGCTGATGCACGCACAGTGAATCGTGTTGGTTCACGTCCAATAAAACGGTCGTCGCAGTCTCACACACACGTCCCCCTTGTCACGGCATGTCCGTCGGTCACTGGGACAGCCGGCTCACTCACTCCTCTGCATGTATCACCACCACCACCACCACCCGCTCTAAAACTGTACCTTTCAGTGGACCACAGCTTGGTTGAGCTGTCTAGTAAACGGTTGTGCCTCGTCCTCTCCGGTCTTCTTCATCTCAGTGAGTACTCAGGGTAGGGTAATCGGCCTAGATTGAAGCAATTATTTTTAAAGCCAAATCAAATTTTAGGTCAAGGTTGCTAGTACGTTATATAAAGTCAATGTAGTTTTAAATTCATGCTGAATATGATGCAGAAAACAAAAAAAATGGGTGGTGCTCACAATGTTTGAATCAAAAATACGGATTATGCTGCTGTCTCCGAAAATTTATGTAATGCAAATGTGCCAACAGTATTACATTGACTTGTGACAAATTATTAAGTTAAAATGTGTTATTTGATTAAGATGAACAATAATAGACTTCTATCTGGCCAATTGGTAGTGCTCCCATTTCCGGGATAACGTTTAAAGACCAGGAGTTCCCCATTAATAGGAGCGGCAAATTATTTGAATGCCAATTAACCGCACTTATCTGAAAGCCAAACTTGTGCATACAGAAAATTGTGGCACTTTGAATCAATAAAATTTATTTGAGGAAGTATTGATTTCTTATTACTCTTTTCTGATTTTTTTTTAACAGTATGCAAGTTACAAAATTTTTAACTATAATACAAATGATAGGACGATCTCTAAGTGAATTCGACTTGGCGTTAGGGTGAATATCAATTTTTTTGTTTTAGTAGTTTCCTAGATTTGCGCAGTTTGTAAATATCTTCGTAAGTCTTCACTACCTGTCTAGTTTTTTTGTTCAGCCAGCCTAGTGCTGTTGACTTGCCTAATTACTGATTGCTTTATTTGTTGTTTCATGTTTTTGTTTAAACGTGGAGCCTGAATGGCTTCTCGGTTATTGATATGTCTCTCAAAAAATTTAACTAGCTGCTGCTCTTGTTTTTGATTCCCTGCCCTATTGCGCTTTTGCTAAAACCTGCAGTTGCTTTGTATAATTGGCTGCATATAGTCATTTTTAAGGTGGTCTCTTAAGTGGATTTTCTCTTACACGGTATAAATTATTACTGGTTTTCCCAATTTAATTTTGTGCGGTTTCGATCATGAACCCAGTCCCAAGTAAATTTTGACATAGCAGCTGAACTAGCACACGGGTAAACCCCAGTAATTTTGCTCTTTAGTGAGGTTTCACATGAACTGTAATTACATGACCATATTTTTTGGTTCTAATTTATCCAAAAGCATTTGAAGCTGTAAAATTTTGCATATTGCGTCTTATTTGCGAAGCTTAATGCAGGAGTCCTGTGTTAGGTCTATGCTGATGCTGTCATTGGTATTACGTGGTCTTGAATATGTTTAAGTCGTACCTTCATGGTCACATTTAATCTAACAAGTGCATCAACTTTCCCTTTACGCTAGATTACACACATACTTTCCGCATGCCCGCGGAACCTTGTTTGCTGAATTTTAAGCTTTAAGATTGAAATATATCGTCATTTCCTCTCGTTACACTAAATCAACAAGTAACTTTTACTATGGGAAATGCCACTAAATTATTTTTCTCTGCCATTGCTTTTACTTTTTCACACCACTGCAGTAATCAGTTGTTTCCGCCTAATGAAACCCAAGGATCAAGTCTTGGCGTTGTTGTCAGGCAAATTATTGGCTTTTTCATTATTTTTGAATGTAACTTCCCATTTCGTTTTAAATCTTATACCAAAGGTTCAACCTAACGAATCGAGGTCCAGACTGAATTGAAATTGATCTATAACGTCGCTAAGCCATGTGTTTACGTGTGAATTCAGAAGGATGCCAAGTGTCTTCCGTCTGCTCAGGATATTCATTTTTGTGGTCGTGTTGTATGTAGTCTTGTGCTGTCATGCTACAGAATCACTTACTCTTTAAGATTATGTCGATTTTATTGAATAGTCTCGTTCAAACTGCATAATTTGGCAGTGTAGTTGTGCTTCTTGACTGTCTTACGCTTTTCGAGCGCCTCGTGGTGAGCGAAGCCCCCACAGTCTCGCCACAGGCTTTTCCTCAATTTAAGCCTTTTTAATAGACTCTTGGTTAAAATCCACCTGGTTGGCGGATTCACCCCTCGCAGTTTGGCTTCCATGTCCTTTTGGATAAACGATAAATTGATTATCGTTGTAGTTAATTGGATGGCAGGAGTTAGGGTGCGTCAATTCAGGTCGATATTGCAGTCTCTAATTCAGCGATATATTTTGGTGCCTCTCTTAGTAGCGTTGTCTCTATCCACCTGTCCTTCGCTTTAGCTCACGATTGAACGGGATTATTTTCACCAGCCTCGCAGTTCGTTAATGGAGCTAAAGCTGATAAAAATTCATTTTTAAGAATCATGACAGTACGAATTTCTTGTGGAGGAAAAGACTTGTTTTCCAAGTGTACGCTACGCGTTTTCACGCACTCTTAATATTACGACAGGGTGCAGTCGAAAAGTCGTAACTAACGGACTGTTACCTTTTTCCCAATACGTTGATGAAAATCTCGGAGGGGATGGTTGGAATCCCTCGTTTGGTACGTCAAAGGTTTTCCCAGAATAAGAGAGGACTAGTGCTTATGCGAAGGGCTTTACTGTATGGACCAAAAAGGTCGAGTACAAGATGTTCCAAAAGTGGAAGTCGTGTGGATGCTCAGATGGGTGAATCGACGTCACAAATCACTGTGTTAATTCACTTGTCCTGGGTACTGTTGACATCCCAAACACGGAGTTAAACCTTAATGCAAGGCACGCATTTGAAATGTCCGTTCCTCCTGTATTCGTTTTTTGGTGATTATTTTAGACAGAAATGGAAGCCGCAATCTTGAGTTCCATAGATGAACACTTTGAAATACATGAAGGCATAGTAAGTCATTTCAATGTGTCAACTGAGCACGAATCCAGGCATCCTACAAGTCCTTGTCAATATCTTTTGGTTGGAGCCTACAAGAATCCCAGAAGTGAGTTTATTTTCAGTCTCAGTGATTTTTAGCAACCTCGCAACGTATAAAGCTAAACATCCAGATGTGAATGCGGTTTTCTGCGTTACTGGCTTCAAAAATAGACCTGATGGCGAACTAGTAGATTCCCAATAAGCGTTGATTTAATTCATTTCAACTCAGGAACTGGTTGTGAAGCTTACCAAATCTCCAGAGACGTCGCAAGATGGTCTGAAAAACGCCACCAGTTTTGTTTATTCCCTGCACAAAAAGGAGACAGCGGTGAGTGTCGTGGCATTCCTGTGTAGCTTTGATCCAATCTCTACAAATTGGCCCTGTGTTTATGATTTCCTTCCATTCAGAACTCGAATGCCTTAGCCTGTTTCGACAAAACCCTTGATCACGACCTCGTTGCGCACAAAGAGTAAGTTTCCGGCCCTAATGGTGTCTGGTTCCGACTCAACTGAACTTCACTCTTGGTATTCCAGGCTCTTGGCGTTCCCATGGGAACCATGCAAGGCCGTTAAGCAGTCACCTGAAGCCAAGCCGTCACCAAAGGTGTCACCGACGAAGACCTCAGTGGTGTCTTCTTCAACGACACGAACTGCTGCCCCCATTAGCAAACGGCAGTCAGTCAAACGTCCGGCCAAGTCCGCGAACCAGTCCAGTCTCGTATTCAACGCCAAGAAAACGTAAGCACAGGCCTTGCAAATTGTTGCACTGACCCGTCTTGGGCACGTGAATTTCGGACAACGCGCTATAGCCATTAACAGATCTGAATTAGATGTAGCAGAATTTCATTTTAGGCATTGGGTGTATGACTTGCTCTGTAAAGTATTTTTTTATGAAAAAAACTATAGAGGTTTCACAACACTGAACGACAAGTCTACGTGAGCTGCGCAACCTCTCGGAGTGTACGATGGCTACTGATGGACAGCACATTCGATGTCACTGCATTTTATGCGACTTCCACAAGGGAAACAGTGCTTCTAAAGCACAGGGCAACCAATGTGCAGTGTTCTTGGTGCCAACAATGTGTCTTATGAAGACGTTTTAGAAGTGGCGATTTCGATCCTAGTGACCAGGCACCCAACCGCACATCAACCTCAAGCGTTTGACGATGTGCGATTAAAAGCTCAACTGGATGAAGACTCAGCTCAAACACAAAAAGAGGTCACGGCTCAGTTAGGAGCAAACATGGAGCAATCACTGTGTACTGTTCTTGGTGCCGACAATGTGTCTTATGACACGTGCAATTAGTGGTACAGACGTTTTAGAAGTGGTGGTTTCGATCTTAGTGACCAGACGCGCAACACGGCAGCAGCCTCATTCGTTTGACGATGTGCAATTGCAAGTTCTATCGGATGAAGACTTAACCCAAACGCAACAGGTGCTTTCAGCTCAGTTAGGAGTCACCTAAGCAGCTATTTCCAAGCGTTTGAACCACTAAATGGGAAAAAATTCAGAACTTGGAAGTTGGGTGCCTCCAAGTGTGTTGACCTAACACAACCTCCCAGGCCAACGTATGAACACATGCTTTTCTCTACCTGCCCGGCGGCAACAAAAACCGAACTTCTTGTGGAAAATTGTGATGGATGATGTAAGGCACTTTCTCACGAGAATCCCGGCCAACCCAGCACAACGATGGAAAATACCCCCAAGTTTAAGTTCGTTGTTCTCCGCTTTTTTTTAATTAAATAAATTTGCTGATTAATCTGTACAAATTAGATCATAGTTGTCCACGGAAAATTGCCTTGCAGTTGTGCTGCCTGGAGGCTGCATAATACCAACTGAGTGGTCTGGCTTTAAACTTTCAGGGGTTCCAAAACGAAACAAACATCTTTGTTTTTTTTAAGCGAACCAGCCAAGCCAGTCGTCAAGGCGCCTGTGGATCCCGAGCCCATTCATGACCCCTTCGCAGACTCGGAAGACGATGATGTTGACGACGACGACGAGGGCGCCAAGGAAAATAGCCGTAAGCATGCCTTGTCCACGTGTGTTCCACGCGCGCGCGCGCGCATCACACCTCTTTTCTTAAGTCTGATTTTCTCCCAGCCTTCGCAGGACTGACCTCCCGACGACGGCGACTTGTCTTCTCCTCGGATGATGATGACGACGACGAGGAAGAAGAAGACGGAAAAAGGAGGGTTGTGGACCAACCTCTCATATCATCGCCTTCGCCGAGAAAGAAAACCTCCAAGATCGTCCCGAAAGTGAGATCAAAAATGGCCTTTTTTAAATATCCAGTTTGTCCTTTCTCTATAACGTCGCTAAGCAATGTGTGTGCGTGCGTGAATTCAGAAGGATGCCAAGTGTCTCCCGTCTGCAAACTACAAGTCACCCAAACGCAAGGCCAAATGTAAGCCACCGGTTTCGCATAAATCGCCTGTTTGTTTATCTTCCCGCGCGAGTGACCACCGTTTCTTGTTTGCGCAGCGCCCAGAAAGCCAACCCCCGGGGCGTCGCTTAGCCCCCCGAAGAAGGCCAAGGCGGCAGGCGAGAATGCGGTGGAGGCGTCCGCAGCGAAGGCACTCAGACCGCCTGAACGACCTCCTGCTCCAGGCGGCGGTGGCCGTCGACGCCAGGTTACAAAGACTTTCGTGGACGACGAGGGCTTCTTGAGTACGTTTGCTCCTTGTCAAGAACTTCCCGTCTGATGGAGGCCTGTGCTCGGATGATTGCCTTTATGAAACCACTTTTTTTTTTTAATTTAGTCACCGAAAAAGTTTGGGAGGAAGTGAAGGAATCGGACACTCCACCTGAAAAATCCGAACCTTCTGCTCCAAACAAACCAGAGCCCATATCCCGAATTAAACCTGTGGTAATGTTTGTTTTTTTTTCTAAACTGCGGTCCACGTTTGCTTTTTCGTGACAAAAGTAAGCTGATAGTTCTATTTCATCTGTCTTCATTTGTCCTTCTACATGGACGCTACCAACGGTTACCACAGGCACTAAAACAAAACACGCAGAGTTCTACATGATTTCAGCTGCACCTTTCAGTAATTTGTTCGCCGCTTCTTGTATTGGTAAAGACAGCCATGCTGCCACACGTTTGACCTCTAGCATTCAAACACCCAAACATCCAAGTCACAATAGCATTTGTGGAAGATAAGCCAATACATTTCTTAAATCGACGATCAACATTGCCAAACGTCGTCGATCAGCGTGTCTTCTAGACCTTTTGATAGCTCCTAGTGGGGGGTGGTTCCATTTGGATTACTCACGATAGGTGGTATTCCACAGTGTGAAATTGCGGCTGTGGTAGCAGCTGTGGAGTCGATTGCATGTGTAAAAGTAGCATCGTTCGCCGTCAACAGTCTCTGGACACGTTTGCATATCTCCATTTGCGTACTTTCCGCATTTTCATGTTTTCATTGTTTCTCGTTTTAGACCGAACCGAAACTGCATAAAGTCAAGCAGGCAACCCTGATGAGTTTTTTCAAGAAGTAACCTTTCTAAGACGTTTCTTATAATTAATGTTGTTGCACTATATCTAAATAGCCTCTGGAATGTGTATGAATGCGAAACTCAAAAAAGACATGAAATTGATAATCTGATTGCCTTCTCTTTTTAAATGTTTCGGTTTGTTCAGGCTCCGGGAATTTCAACTCAGAGAATGCCTGTATTATCACGTCTCTGTTCCCATAGACATCCTCTGGTGAATTGTACGGTGAGAACAACAGGCTACTCCGTACTTCAATTCAAACGACTAGTAGTAATTTAAATCCTTGTAAATTTTAACAGTAGTCGGAATTAGTACCGTGACAGGAGTATGGCTTGTAGCCCCCAAACATACTGACCCCTTTTGTGAGAGTGCAGCTAAGGAGTGTCTTGAATGTACCTCGGGTTATAAGGTTTCCAAAATCGACCTTAGTAGTGCTCAGGGAGGATCTCGATAGAATTTAATTGAAAGGGTTAATTAAAAGGAACTATATGGTATGTAAAAGCTAAGTCCATAATGCCTAAGGATTATTGCAGTATTCGCTTTTATTTAATTGTAGGAGTTGTTACACTAGGAGTAACATCGATAAACCAGTAGAGACGCTATAGAAGAATGTCGTTCACTTAAACGACACTATATGTCATCGCGTTCCCATGCTGAAATATATTGCCAGACACCTGCGACATACAAATAATGAAGAGGCAAAATCCGAATATAATTTAACTAACGAATATCCTCCATCGTAGGTTTTTAATGATGTACCACTGGAAGTCAGAAAATCATTATTATTTTAAAGTCGTGAATTGATTTATGTTAGAGAATTTACTAGCTGGAAGTACGTATGCGATGAGACTTAAAAATACCGCTTTAATTATTACCGATGATGGCGTGATTATAAATTACCTGCAGCCTAAATTCTCACTTTTCCCGTCTTGCGCGCACATTTATTCCGAAGTTGTGTTCATTAATACGTTATGACATTGCTGGTAACTTAAATATACAAAAGGCTTATTTCGAAATTCGTAAATGCCCTAATATTTTTTCAAAACGCCTTGACTTAATTTCTGGCAATGCTTTGAATAATTTAGACTTAAATAAATATTTTTTTAAAATTTGACATTATAATAATGCTTTGGAAGCAGCAGTTCCTTATTGTTAAGTTATCCTGCCATTATGCGTCGTTTGAAATAATCACGTACTTCTTCAATTTTCTTCATAGCTAGGATTACAGAGTTCGCTAGCATCTTAAATGCACAAGCTTATCTTCTGGAATATACTTAATAACTTTATTGAACGCCACACATTTTATCAGCGAAGTAGACAAATAGAAACATATTTATATAAAGATATATTTTGGGACATGCTTAATGTCACTGAATGGCCTCAACACCATCTTTAAAAATAGTTAACTCTCTCTGAAAGTTTGTGCTCCTGTTGTAATTTTGTGATGCAAAAAATTGTTTAAAATATTGGACTCTAGATGAGACTGCAGCCGCATTTATAAAAAGCCTGTAAAAGGCACGGTTGCATATTCGGCTTAATTTTATAATGCTCTGACTTTTCACTTAGCACATATGTAGAAAGCTTTTAAAATATGTTCCTCTATTTCCCTCACATAAATGAACAACTATAGAAAAAATTTTATCTTTCATTTGTGTCCGTTTTAATAAATGCATTTTAGTGTTTAGGCAAGCGAAATTTGAGGCACTTTAACATTTTATCTTGTTTAACTTCGCCCTTAAATTTTGCGTTTTTGATGATAACCTTCAACCAATCACTATCGAGGTTTTTGTCATCATAGGAAGTGTGGAAGAATGTCCAAGAACACTGGGGACACACGTTTTCGGAAGGTCGATGTTGACAATATTGGTCAAAGCAATTTTGAGGAGGAAAAGGTCGATGACACTCACTTGAACCCTCGTGATGTGGAAAATCTTCTTAACAGGTCACTTTCTGACCCTTTTATTTGCTAGTCATTTTGCAATTTTTCTTAAATCCCACACTTTGGCACGGTTACCTGCGCCTATTCACTTAGGGTGCTAAGTGGTTGCCCGTTCATGTCTTTTTGCTTTTGTGAAAGTCACAATTAACATGTTCTTTTTTTGAACGTATGCACTGTTATTTGGTTTTGGCTCCCTGTAATACAAAACGTTAGCGTTCTTATTGGCTTTTTTCATAAACTTTTAAATATGTGTGATGTTTGCTTACTGGTCGTCTTTGTACCATTTAATTTTTGGCAAATCTTTGTCGAACTCCTCAGAAGAGGTTTTATCTGCTGTTTCGAATCACGAATGTTCTGATAAGTGATTGTTTGCTTGCTGTCCCTGTAATACCATTTTTGATGTCAGTGTACCGTGTTAATGCTAATGCACACTTTTCAGGCTGCAAAAAGCTACTGTGTCTAATTTTGTAACAGCCTTTTATGAAATGAGTAATTTATGCCCAAAATATGAAGCGTTTTTGTAACTAATTGCAGGCTGAATATCTTGCAGGAAGACGTTACGTATTTTATGTGTTCCTGGACCGTGTGTTTAGTTTTCGATAATCAAACTTGTAACTGCCTCTCCACCATCTAATATTTGGTCATGTAACTCTATGTTGGTTGATACCTTAACATTTTTTCACTCTTGCCGTTAGGAGTTACGTATTCTACTTCAGTAGACACCTTTATCATCCAATTACAATTTTAGTGGAAAATATGAAGATGCCGTCAGGATGGTACTGGACAACGCGCCGGTTAATTCAAAAGACATGGCCCTCAAAGATGCCGTGCTCGCTCTTATTCTCCGTGGCATGTCGCAGTTGAAAAGCACACAGATCGACTCCTTTGTTGGAGGCCTTAATCAGGATCAGCTTGACATGCTGATGAAATACATATATCGCGGATTCCAGAATCCCACAGACATCACACACGCTTCTCTGCTTCTTTGGCATGAGAAGGCAAGTCGACTTCCTCTTCATCGTGTTATTTTCGCACAACCAACATAGGTTTTTGGTATTACATTGATGGCTTGTTACACCTTAGCAATTCACCAGTGATTCAACTTGTTCTAGCCAAGAATATTAGTTTGAACTTGTTAATTTTTCGGGGCAATTGTTCTTGCTGGTGCTATTTGTTGGTTGGGTATTGATAACCTACCATCTTTGCACTTAGTTTACATACTGTTACTTTCTGAATGCGATCTTTCCCACTTTAGGTTTATGCCAAAAGCAAGATCAGCTCGATATGTCGTGTCCTGACTGACGGAAGGATTGTGTGAACGTCCGCGCTCTCGATTCTTCACGATCCTATTCTTCCTTTTTTAGTACCTTGGTTTTTTTTTCATTTATTCTCGATGAAGCTATCGTGCGCCGATTTTGGTATATTTTAATCACTGCTGCCGAATATTTGATGCACCAAAATCCGTTCTTTTTTCTTGCTCGAATATGTCAGTGGGCACAAGCTGCATTCTCGTCACGTACACTTTAGGGGTAAATCCATCTCATTTGATTAGTATTTGATGATCGGTGGAACAAAGGCCCTGACATTGCTTAAATTAATCGAATCGTAAGCAAACATTCTTGTCAATAGCGTCACTTGATTTGCGGAATTCAGCAACCAGGCGCCACTAATTACAAGCCCGCGACATTGGCAGTTCTGTGTGAGGCACTTAATTGACAGTGGGGTTTCTTCACACTTGGATTCTGAGTGGAGACGTTTGTTAAACAGCCCGAAATCGGCGATTTCGGTTGGTGGGGTTCCTATGCAGGAGACGTTCGAACGGACTCCGAGGCCCGGCTGTGTGTCTGACATCCTGATTGGTCAGGTCCAAGGCCAGCATTGACGAGTGTCAGCGCTGAGACCACCAAGAACGGTCAAACAACTTGGGGTGTGGGACTACATGTTCCAAGGCTCTCAAACCAAAACTTGCAGTGGTTGAAGGGTAATTACGGTGGTTTGTAGCATGTGGGGACCAAAGTAAAGGTGCATGACGCACCAAAACTACCTAACTAGTGGAGTGCTTGTAGTGGACTGACAGCCACCTCGCTTGAGTGTGCGCGAATGAGGGCTTGTGTGTACCAATGACTCACCCCCTTTTGTTATTGGCCTCTGTCAGCGTTCGTCTGTTATGCAGGCGTACTCATGCGCACACAAAGCCACTTGGTTGTTTTGACATCAATAAACCAGTCGTGTCCGCTCTCGCCTCTTCACTCTACTCGAGTTGTCTTGGGCTGTTAACTGGAGGGTTGTAAGGTAGTGCTAAGATCAAGCTACTACATACTCGGTGAGTTCAGGGTACCCAATAAGGCGTTACGATTTCGTTGCGTTTGCATGGAGCCGGGTCAGTAATGAAAATGAAACGGTGGACGTTCAGTGGACATAATTTGTGAAGGAAACACGCCTCAGATGAGACCCGGCCGCCTCCTTTCTCGGGGTTTTGACGCATGCATCGGTTCAAAGTTGCGCATTCTTGTCAGTAATAGTTATATTACAATGTCACATGTAATATAAGAGGAAGGTTTAGGTAAAATGACCAAAAGCACAATAGTAGCATCAAATGTCCAGCAGTGCCTCAACCGTTTTGAAATTGACTGATCAGGTCCTTTACGTGTCCCAGGGTGGTTTCTGGGGGCTTAGAACTGGAAGCAGCACAACTCGTTCCATGAGTACTGCCACCGAGATGGGCCGCTGACCGTCGGGGGCCCGTGGAACTCGTCCGTGGCGGTTTGGAAGGCTTCGGGGGATTCCGGCTGAGGTCGACATCATTAACAGGCCGCAGATTCGCCACGGCAGCTCGAAAGCGTCCGTGGCACACGGTGGCTGCCTCGTTGAGGCTCGGTGGAAGGGACGCTAAAGTATCAAGAGCAACCTACGGACAAACCACTCGTGATGGGTCACCTTAAGTGTCAACATAAACGTTTCCTCTGGTTGCAGCTATGATTTCACTCGAGTCGATTGGTTGAGCGTGGATGCACGCACACGGGAAAAAGAGGGGTCAACAATATTCGATATTCGACGTCCTGATATTCTATCGGTCGGTGCCGTGTTTTGTGCTTAACAGAAAATACCAAACACGGAATCTAACCTTTCAAGGGGAATTAAAGCTAAACCCTACAACACGATTTGGCGGGAAACGCAGTCAAATTGAACAAAACAAGGTTGGATGAACCGTTCGACTTACTGTCTAATCTTGATGGTTGTTTTCTGGAACCACCGTTAGCAAGTTGATTCGATCTAAACGGAAGAAAAAGCGAATTACAACATATTACTAGCAGGAGAATAACAAGTAGTATACATGTGTGCGCGTTCACAGCAGTGTCGAAACTATATTACACGTAAGCACCCTCTTGCACACAGAGAGCAGAATGAGCAGGAATGAAGCAACTGAACTGAATTTATGCGGATTGTGTGCAAGTAGGTCACAAACGATTCCAATTCTCCAGATCAGTTTTCCACCTAATATGAGTAGACTGCGTTGTACAGTTTTGGGCTTCCCTGATTCCTGTCAGGAGTCAAAATAACTACCTCGAATACAACGTGGAGTCCGTCAGAGAGGTCTTAGCAGAGGCGACAGTTCGAGGTGGTTTGGTGAGGCTGGGTCGTTGTGCTTTCGCGGACGGCGACGGCGCACTGGTCTTGCGGGCGCTTGGCGTTCGATTGTGGTCGTACCGCCGAGGTCTGGGCGAGGTCACGGGCTGTTTTGTGTCCACTTTTGAGCGAGTAGGTGGCTCTCGATGCCGCGTTTGCGCTGGAGGCTGCTTAAGCGCACTCCCTGAGGGTGCCTAAAACACGAAACGCACGATTTGAGGCGATGGTTCAATGAAGAGTAAAAGCCACCCACGTTTCACGCAGTTAAAACGGGCGATTTCCGGAATATGAGGTCATATTGAACAGTCAACTGCAAGGTGCTGCCCGCAGATTTCACTACTCAAGGTCGTCGTTAAGCAGATCTCGCGAATTCTTCATTGCGGGCTCAGTAGATAGCGGACTCACTCCCCTCATGCCCCTAATGCGAGATAAACCATGAGAGTCCAGCACACTTCAAAGGCAATCCTGTCCGTCGAACAGCCGTGAATTTCGTAATGGCTTTAGAGGCGTTTCATTCCTCACCAATGAAAAATACTACTAATGGTATTCAGTAGCATCTAATCTTTCTATTAAATAGCTTAATGAGAGCAAATACGAAGTCTCCTGTCCTGATATTAATTTCAAAAAAACGTTATAGCTAGAACGCTCATACGGACTATGGGCATACACGCACTACGATAAATTGCGTAATTTTGCATTTTAGTCCCAGCTAGAAGTGACATTTTTTTATAGCGGGCATCAGTAGAGCAGATCAAAACGGGGGTGAGTTGAACTGACCGGTGTAAGACGGCTGGTGTCGATGGCAATTCGACTGACCAAGTTGCATACCGACATTGAATCAGACGACTCATCGCCACTCCCAACCGACGCAGATGCCTCGGCAGCAACACCATTGCCATTGGCTGATCTTGTCGAGCCGGCGTTCCCATTGGACGAGACAACGCGCTCCTCACTTAAAGTAACCAATGGCCGCAGTATCTCATCCAGATCACTCGGCGATAGGGTCGCCATTGATCGCGTCTTCTCGATGTACTGCTCGTAGGCGCGTCCGAACGTCACCGTGTCGTACTGCGAGACCTCCTGACAGTCGATGTAGATTGAATTTCCAAGAGGACGCCGCAATGCCCCGTTCTGCCGGGCTGAGCAAAAAGATCACGTGTGTTACACTGACTGGTTCGCAGCAAGAAACCGCCTAGAAAATCAATACTCACCTCGGGAAGGGGATTTCGGCGTGGGATCGCGCTGGCGCTGGGGCGATGGAAAGTCGACCGCGAACCTCTCCTCGTTGATCTCCACTGCAATGCACCGGAAGTCGTCCTCTTCTTCCCCCACTTCCGTGATATCCCCGAAGGCAGGTGTCGCAGGCCCGAAGGCGGACGACGAAGTTGTCGAGTCCACGTCGCTCTTGACGTCGTCGAGCGAGGCAGTGGAGTGCTTGGCCATGAGGCGATTCCACGCGTCCTGCACAAGCGCCACGTGATCGGCGTCGCCCGGACTCACCTGGTTGTCGCTGCTTCCTGCCACTTCGTCGACTGCCGAGGCGCTGTGAGGTGGGTCGTCCGGCAAATCGGACCTCAGCGCGGGTCTTGAACTCCAGTTCCGACGCTTGAAAATGGCTAAAATAGATAGGAGTGATTGTGGTGGCAAGAAAACTCCACGAACTCATCGATTTTCACTATTTTTATGCGCCAATTGTATACTTTTCCCGGGTTATTGAGGCACGTGAATATTCAAAATTAGTTGACTGATTAAAATACGTGCGCATCCACGAATTCTGAGCAGTTTCATCATACCTGTCAGTACGCTGGAGCCCTTTCGTCGAGGTATTGGCTCTTCAGAGTCCTCGGCAGCGCACGGCTGTGGAAAGGTGTCAGTTGAAGTCTGCGGTTTCGGACATATTCCTGCTATGTTAAGCATTAGGCGCTTCGCTGTTTCTGGTATCGCTGCGTCGAAGTTCTCCAAGATTACTTTTTTTATTTCAAGACACCACAACTGCTTAACTTCAATGCTTGCGGCTTGCAGCGTCTTTTGAGCATTCGGGTTGTTGAAGGGCAATATGTGGAAGGCGAGAGGATTCTTGTCGATACACTCAATCAGCATCAGGTTATCACACTAAAAACAGTTGAAAATTTATATCTACCGAAAGCATGTAAGTAGACGTTTATAAACGAAACCTACACTAATGATATCGCATATCTCGAGGACAGACCCAAGTGACCGGCCGGAAGGCGTTTCTAAGTCCGTCAGATTTGGCGCAGAATTGTTGCCGGAGTTGCTTCGGCAGGTGAATTTTTTTGCCAAAAGAATAGCTCGTTCGAACAGGAGTGCAAGGCGACATGCGTGTTTCTTTGCAGGCAGACGGAAGACATCTTTTAGAAGCAAATTTCCCCATTGGTCAACGTTAAGGCCACTGGCACGCAACTGACCAATCAACTCGTGACGGCGCTTTGCCTCGTTGATGTGAGTGGCCACTTGAATCATCCTCTCAAGGGCACTCTGAAGTTGTTCGATGGCCGTTTCCACGTCGGTACCAAAAATACTTTGTTGCTCACTGAGTGCAGCCATTGTGCACCCTTTCACTAGTTCCTATAGGAAAAAATTCACAACACATCAGAGTTGTAAAAAGCAATTATTCTGATCTTTGATTTTTTTTTACATCTCCACATCATTACCACACCGGTTTTATCTGCGCAAATCAAAACAACGTTTATTTAAGTATTTGCCTTACCGAAACTACCACGCACTACAGTGTGAAAATAGTACCTCGTCACTCATTTATCACTTACTCACTTCGCTTAAAGCCTAGGTATAATGGTCGATGTAGGCCAATCAGCGCTTTGACGAGGATGTTTAGCCCTTAAAAAGAACTGCAATACGAAATTGCCAGGCAGACACATCAGGGATCGTTGTTGTATATGTACTTGCTACTAACTGTTTACAAGTAGCAAGAGTATATTTTATATTGCACTCCGTTTTTTGACTACAACTGGGTGGTGTCAGCGCAGTCTCAATTTCTGTGTGTCAGCCCCGATGCCACCTTGGATCAATTGAACCCCTCAACCAATGAGATTGCGGCACCTTGTATTCCTCCACTCCAACTGCCTCACCTTAGCTACTGCCAATATAATTTACCAATGGTTGTCAACTAATAGAGTGAAACACCAAATTACGAGGGACCAAAAAAACACACCATGAGGAGACTTATTAAAAACCACATTACACTTTTGGGTATTGAGAAGCGAAACACACACACACACACGCAAAGATTCAATCCGAGGTAGAATTCACCAAGAGGCCTAAGTTGTGTGGGTTGATTTGAGCTCATTCGCCACAGCAAAACATCTCCGGAGTCGCAAAATGTAGCCTTTATTTTATCCGAACGATCAGTTGTTTAAATCAACCCCAGAGCATCAAGGCCAAGCAGGCGTTGGTTATTCCAATCAACGCCGACTATTCTGCGACCAAAATCGGCCTGTGCGGACAGACGCATGTTTGATGAGGTCATGTGACATCGTTTTGTGAACTAATCGCAAGATCACACAAATGCGTTCGGATGGTCAGTAAATGACGGACGCTGCATCCATGCAAGCCATTGTTGCTTAGAACTCGTAATTGGTGTAACTAGATTCAGGTAAATATATATGGGAAAATGCATATCCACTTGAGGTGTGAAACAAGTTTAGCCGGTGATTGAAAAGTGATCGAGACAATTGTCACGGTCTGCAAATGAACCAGCGGTAGAATCGATACAAGACTATGCACAGGTCTGTGGCCGTTGCATTACGTCGCGCGTCAGTGTATTTGGCTATCCCAGACCACCGTCCACTCAAGGATGTGTGGATGATTTCAAATGCCCTGCCCCCGTTGAAAAGCCATTGGTAATTGAGTTGAAGGAAAAAACGGATTGAACTAGGTTCAGGTGACTGACGTACCTGCAGCAAGAGCTGGTACTTGAGGATCCGCTGCACCGGTTTCAGAAGATACGACGAGAACGGCAGCACGTGCCGAAGTTTCGCCTGACAGGCTAGAATCCTCGTCCACAGGGCTGTCTGCATTTGATATTCTTGCTCCAGGGTCTGAATTGACCTACAAGTTGGAACGACAAACCGTCACATCAGGCTTCGTCGAGGTTCTATTCCCGACACCAGTACGGCTGCGCATGGAATAGCTTGTAATGAATCGTGTTGACTCATGTCCAATAGCCACCCAGTCCTCGCAGCTTCCAGCACACGCCCCCTTTTCACGACCTGCCCGTCAGTCACGTGGGGCCACTGGTTCATTAACCACTGTGCTTGTCCCACCGCCACCCGTTTTATTCATGTGACCCCACAGACACCTGTGTTTATTGTTGTACATGTCCACTGAACCGTAGATGTACAGGACGTAACTTGGTTGAGCTGTCTAGTAAACGGTTGTGCCTTCTCCACACTCCGGTCTTCTTTATTTTCGCGGGAACACAGGGTAACGTATTCGGAGTAGATTGTCGCAGTGGCCCCGGCGTGGTTCAAGACAACATGCCGAGGCCCTCAACAAGCTCTCTGCCTTCACCAACTCCGACTACCAACCACGCCAAACCACGACATACCAATCTAGGGCAAATACTTCCAACGATGTGATTGGCGGTCGGCAATCCCCCGTGGTGTATCCCCACAAACGTTGGACACGGTGGTCGAAGTGTTCGCTTAGTTTGATAACTTGATTTCTTAAGCATCGAAGGCTCGTGATACACCACATTTGTAGACATGCCCGCAAATACTGCCTTTCCAGATACTTCGTGTCACATCTGATCCCAACAGAATTAATTAAAGCTAATGACGAGGGTGAGACTGAAATGTAACATTGCGGTAAAAGGTTAAGTGATTCGACTTCCGACCAATCGATTTTAAGTATTCAGATGGCGACAAATTCGACTTACAACACCTGTCAGCCCCATTCACAAATTACACAATATTCTTAAATACAGGAATGACGCCTCCTTCTTTGGGGGGCTGGGCCTTGGATAGACCTTGAATTCGTTGTTTTAATGAATTGCCAAGGCAAAATGGCGAGGGATCAGTTATCGCGTGGAGGCACTTAGTAATCGTATCTTATAATGCTAAGATGGAACAACTCCAGTGCACTTCATTGATAAAAAAGACACGTAATTTGATGCCACGGAAATAAGTTATTGTGCGGATGGATACTAATATCCAGGCAGGTGTCCAAGCGCGCCGTTCTGGAACAAGCAAGGATCATAGGGCTATACTGAAAACTTGAATTTTAACTGCATACCCTTCGCTTTATTTGCTTACATTCACACCAAATTGCGAATTGTGTTCGAGGAGAAATTGAGGCTCCTTTTAGTTTTAAACCGCAACAAAATGTTGCTCCGTAAAAGAGACGAAACACGAAATCGAAACTAGAGAACGAAATTATTGTAAAAAATTAAGACAAATTAAGAACAAGGAAACAGAAATCAAGACAAATCATGTACACACAATAGAACACGAGCTGTTGTTTAAATCAATCAACGATTAGTTTACGTCGCTACCGGATGCAAAAGCGACAGACTCGGTTGAGCGGCGTGGTGATTTGGCGCCGAGCTGTCATTTGGGGTACGTGAATTGTTCACTTTTGTTGGACTAACTCCGATTGCTTTCATGTGATTGGTGAATGCCGGAAGCATCGACATCTGATTTCCGTCGATCTCATGTCATGGGAATGGCGTGAAGTAAAACAGCATTAAAGTACCGACCGCAATTACAGGGACAGTGAATCCTTCTGTATCATATTGTGATTCAAGCAAAAGTAAGGAGTGACCAATTGCGACTCCTCAAATCGAAACCCCAAGAGGCTGCAAACGAACTTGTCAGGCATTCGTGTTAATCGTCGTATCCACTACCAAACAGCTACCTGAGGATCACAAATGTAGAGTTCTTTCTGTGCCAACATAGGAGCACCGTGAACTCTCACAAACTCTTGGAGTGGGCATACAAAACACTCAAAGCTAGGGGCGAGGCTATAGCGTGAACTGGACCCCTCACAACCACTAAATCCAAGTAAAAATGTGGCAAAATTTTCACACTTTTCAGTACTTGACACATCCTACCTGGTGGGATTCCCACAGGTATCATGTCAGGTGTACATCATGTGCCGCGAGCGCTGAGTCACGCACACACAGACCGCAAAAGTAGACAACTTTAACATTACCGAGAGTGATGTTGCAAGTTTCTGTCGGTAACTTATGCTGCAACGAATGCCCGTCAATCACCGACAAAATCATACGTGGTGAGCTAAAGAGTTCTCCGAAAGATCCCATGGCACTACATCCAAAAAGCCTGATCGACTTCCACCAATACGACGATCTCACATAACGGGGGTCGCATTTTCGTGATACTAAGCATCAAGTGATAGTGAAAATCGATCCCCAACATTATGGAAGGCACTGATGCACTCGTTTTAGTAGTTCTTCCATCGTGGAGTTACGTGACCTCCAGGAAATTCGCACTGGCTTGTAGTCAAGTTGGCGAGCACAACAGGTCTGAATTTGTAACATGACGAAATGAGGACACATCCAAATGTGCTTTTCATTCCAGGCAAAACTACTTGCTCCAGACTACGGGCATTTTTACACCCCAGAGCAGTGTTTGCTAAACAGCAAGCACGGATGTCCGTGCGTTAACTTCACCTGACTCCTGAACGATGGAAATGACCGGGGCCAAAGGCGAAATCCCTCCACATCGACATCTGCTCACTAGAGTGTTTAGGATCAAAATGAGGTCAGTAGAATTGCCTCGTCCAGGCGTGAAAGACGGTAATGTCCATGAGAAGAGTGGACTGGAATGTGCGGCAATTTTAGTTACCTGTGAAAATTAAAACCTGCCAATCAAGCTAAATGGGTGTGCGTTGGGGATCCACGATACCCCAAGATTGCCCATCGTTGGTTTCTGGCACAATTTACACCAATTCACTAACATGCGTTTGGTTACGCTTTTTATCTGGTCAAGGTCAATCATGGTTTGAGTTGGTTTCACTTTTGAAAACTAACTCCGCACGTGGCTGGCGTGATTAAAGCTCTGCACGAGCTCAGGTTTTGTTCTTGTATTAGCGTGGGACCTGGTACCGTTACTTGAGTGTTTTTCTCTTTGTTACGGGCAAAAGTAACAGAATGATTGGGTGTTGATGAAGCATGATTTTGAAATTGTGACTAATATCTAACATTGGGATCATCTGTACCGAAATTAATTGCATCCAACTCATACTTTTGACTGAAACTGTAGACCATCTCACGCTTTCCGTTCCTTCTCGAATGCCTTCTCGTTTCTTCGTCTTGCACGAAACTTGGAAACGCACACAAAACACAAAAAGACGTCCGTCTTTGTGGATACAGTGGCCTTCAATGACTGCCAAGTGGTGAAAGCGGTTGTTTGGACCGTCTTTGATATTCACTAGACTTCAAACAAGATGTGTTGTGGGTCCCAGCATGTGGTCTTGAACCACGCTGGGGCCACGAAATTAGACCTGGCCCGATTACGCTTGCCTAATACACGCGATGAAGAAGAAGACCGGAGAGGACGTGGACATAAGCGTCTGCTTCAGAGCTCAACCACGTTGGTGTCGTTGTGTCGTGTGTGGAGTTTGCGCGTGTGTATTTATACCTCGGATGTGTGAGTTATACATGCGCTAATATCGAGACCTAGGTGTGAGGATAATCCAGGACAAATTGCCATGTGGATGAGGGGGGAGAGTTGAGGATCCGCGCGGCCGGCGACATGCTGCGAAAAGGGGGAACCTGTGTCGGAGGTGGAGCGATCGGGTTAATGGGTGTGAATAAACACGAGTCACAGCAGATGGTTAGGAGAAATTCTGATCCACTGATCGGAAGCAAGGCAAGAACCATTGGTCATTCGTAGCTCGTTGCAGTTAACAAATAGGCGCTGAGCCATGCTGTTTGCTGACAGTAAAACGAGCAACAAAAGGCGTTGTAACGCCCGACTGCTGTGACATACGTAGATGTACCCATCTGGGTCCTCTACTACAGTTGTCTATAATAGATTTCTTTGGCTCTTGCGAACTCGGCGACCTTAGCGGACGACCAAACAATGGATTGTGGCTGAACGACTTCCAGATGGAACCCATATGCGCCAAGAAGTATACGCATGCACTCCGGACGTGTGAGGTGAACACCCAAAAAAAAGTATTTCAGTGTTTCAAACTAGACATGGCAATGGGTTGGCTATTGATTTTATTACAAAAAGGGCTACCAGCATTTAGAAATAAATTTGACATGGCGGACTAAGTCTACTGAGAATCAGCCAATCAAAATTCGAGGAACTGGAGCAACCAGTTATTTTCCATCAGAAAGGTCATCTGACAACTTAAATCGTTTATGCAAATTCGGACAAGCCGGATGTTTATGCAGGGAATCGGGATGAATCAAGGCTTTGGTGGTGTTGGTGTGTGAGAGGAAAATTGTCTCATTGCTGTAGCATGTAAGTTCATCTTATTCCGTCGATAAGTGTGCGTAAACTCTTAGTTTGTGGATAATTCGTGTTCAAGAACTGTTGTGTCGGTCGCCTGCATGCAACGAAAACGTCGAATCCAGACACGAGTGTTTTTTTTTCTAGTTAACGAGATTTCGTGCGAATCGTGAAACGCCAGTAGCTCTGTTTTTAATCGTACAATTTTTATTTTTCAATCGACAAACTAAAGTGAATGAATTAAGTTACTTTGAATCGAATTTCCAACTCATGGGGAACATTTTCGTCACTTTTCCGCAAATTGCTCCCCACGAGGGAAAGCTGTGTGTGATTTATTATTAATATGCGTTGGGCGTGGTTATGGTGCCACAAAACAGCATCGATGTTAGTTAAAGCCCTGTCTGGATAGTTAGACGCGAATGAGTCATCACATCCAGACGGACCAATCCAAATCATTTACGAGAGAAATGAATGCACCAATCAAGTCGAAGCAGAAAGATTGCTGGTTACTTCACAGTACGCTCTCACAAGGGCATGTCAGTTTAGCAAGATTTCGAAGGAATTGCAAATGCTGGGGGTCTTGCAGCAAAATGAGACTTTCCTCGCGACTTTCACTATCACGACACCCAAACTGGTGAAGCACAGCAATAAAGCGAGACAGAATGAGTCATTCACAACATTTGTCGAAACAAAAACGACTAGATGTCTTTATGAAGCGTTTGTGAAGCGTGAATAGTTTAACCTTAACTACACGTGAGGATATTAAATTGGCGAAAGAGTTAACTTCTGATGGGGGTGCCAAACTCTCCAGGAATTTAACATTCTCAAACGGATGCCCCGACTGGGTTGTCGTCAAAGCGTGTCCAAAATGTTCCAAGTCAGCTACGAGTAAATAGCGTAGTAGAGAAATGTGCGTTTGCGCATGTGCGTCTCGAACACACAATGATATCGACCTTGTAACATCTTGTCTGGTGGTTCAGTAAACCGCCAATGTCCAATCTCTCTTAATTTACCTGTGGGACACAATATACTTCCAATTCATGGTCTTCCATAACTTGTCTTAGGACTAACATGGCTCCTGCGGTCTATATGGTATCCACAACGCATGGCAAAACAGCACATTGTCTTCAGAACGCTAAAATCCACCAATCAGCTGAGGATTTAACTGTCCAATGGGAGCAATGCGGACTGAACCAAACTTACAGGGAATGTTCTGTACAAAACTCAACGTAGAGTTCTTCAAAGTCTACTGCGTGATGGAGGAATGCATTTGCAAGGCCGACGAGATTTTCGCTGTTTCGTGATAGTTCACCCGAGAAGGATCTTGAAGAGAAGGGAGAATACAGAGTGATCAGCAGTAGAACACGACCGCCTACTGAAATTGAATTTTAAGTAAACAGCCCGAAATCACAGGTGGATAAACGCAAATTGTTGTTGACCTTTTCCGGACAGTATGGGGGACTAAATAAACGTGAGTATGCGAAGGTGGATAAAAGTTAGGGGTGAGGAGGAACCGGTAGGAGGAGGAGCTGTCACGCAAAACGGACAGGTGGAATATGAGGCAAAAGTAACTTACTGGTGGAATGCATGAAGTTGGAGGATGTTGGTGAAGATGGCGTCTATCGTCCCCGCGTCAAATTCGCCTTCCGCGATCAATGGGAGGTAATAGCCCTAGGGGGACCAAAATTTACCCTCAATTGACCAACATCCTCATAATGCCAGAACGTCATTGGTTCGTTGAAGTAATAGTGTCTGAGTCATCATTGGGCACCAACCGAACGAGATGTCGTTATTTGAAGGTAGGTTTTTAACTTTGGTTACAGGTTGTAAGTAAATATTGACGGAAAACGTGGATGATAACAATAGCCTTTAAAATACCGCCGATCATTACTGGAATCAGCTATTAGCGATTAGCGGTGGACAGCAGAATCGATCGCTTAGTTCCTAATGAACCTACCATAACTACACAAAATCCAGGGCGACCACACAAAACTGACGGTAAAGCCTTTTTTGGTGCAATTTATCACGCTTGGATTAGGCCTTTTTTATCATCGATTGACGCTGCTGCAGACAATCTATTTTTCACCATCAATGATAAATTGGTTGAAAAAAAGGACGACCTCATCGCATTCCAGGGGCACTTTGCAATCGCTGATTCCTTGTGTTATGTTATTTTCTACCAACGCATTTAATTTGTATGACACAATATGTAACGGCTACTATGCAATTTCTCTCAGCGCTACGTGATCCCGATCCGGTCGAATTGTCGCTTTGATCTGATCGTCAATTTCAATTGGTCGACCACAACCCAAGACGAAAGTGAGTGGATAAGCTCCAGAAAGGATTTTTTTATACCAATTACGTCCAGGTTTGCAATTTACACAATAAACGTCCGCATCAAGCATCCTACGTTTGCAAAAATGAAAATCCACCTCTCTTTAAGTTGACTTTAAACGAATATCTACAAATTGGCTTCTCTTAAGCTTATTAGAAAAAAAAATCATGTCGTTAACAAAGTATCGTAAAAAAAACACAACGCAACACAACACAACGTGTGAAAACCAACTCATTAGCATCTGAGACTGATTAAAATAGTTAAGTGATTAGTGGAACGCAGTGAAAAGAGTATTGGTCAGTTTGAAGAATCCGCCCAATCCCAATTGGATACAACCACTTAAAATGATTGGCCACCCATTCAAGATGCACATCAGTTGCAATGAGAGGTTCAACCAAAGCCGTCCAGTGTCGTTTATGCCGTGGAAAAAAAACCCTTAGCCGTTGTCTGCATTTCAGCAGGCATGACAATCTCACGGCACCGTAGTTATTTGAGGTACCATCAGGAAGACGGCACCGACCAAAGATATTTGACTTATCAGTTTTACCAAACGGATTTTTATTTTATTCCTGCGAGGTCATCCATGATGTACTGATTCTTAATTTACTGTCTACCTTTTCTACATAGACATTTCTGCATATTCAAACGCCTACAAGGATTTTCATTTTGCGCTGAAATATTTTTCCAAAAAACAGGTTAAAATATGTAAATAACTTAAACGCAGTTTACCATCCAAGTAAACTATAATGACTGCTTGATTTACAATCAAGGCAGGGTTTGTTTAAATTCATCAGTGATGTTGACATCTCGTTAACACACGTCCAAATTACAGGCACAATGACGCCAAGCACAATCGGAATCCGCGTGAAGATATAGGAGGGTAAAGAAATACGTTTAGGGTGTTTGGGACCACACTCAAGCAATAACCCGGTTCTCAAGATATGTGGTAGAAACTTTCCGTGGATTATGAAGAATGATTGTTGAGGAAACTGGGCTACGGTCAGTCACCCATTCCAACAAATATAATCGCTTTGCTTGAGAAAACGCTAAATTACACAAAAAAACCAATGAGATTTTCAGTTTTTTCAAAATTTATGGGTGGAAATATTGGGTCAGGGAGCAAACGAGGTTACATTTTGAAAGAAAACGATTATAATGTGGCATAATTTAAAAAAAAACACTCTTCAGTTTGTTTTTTGTAATTAAACGACCACAAACTGTGACTTTTTCTGCAATCTCAACACGTTTAGCGCAAATCATGGCAGGTTGTTGCGGCTAATTCGCACAAAAAGCTGTCGTTGCCTTTCGAAAATCAACTTAACCGTGATCGAACCTTTCGGGGTGATTCAAACATGAGACAAACCTCACGTACACCCGCCTTTTCGCGCGTTCTCTGTTATCACTGGTGCAGGAAAATGGAACAGGGAGGCGATGCCTATTCCCCACCAGACAGTCAAGAGGCGGTGGCAATTAGTGCTCTCATCCCATTCAACGGGATATGGCGCGACACGAACCCACGTGCGCACATGCACGCGCCCTATTGACCAGCCAATGAGAGAAGGCCTCAGGCGTGGAGTCGTGCGCACGTGGCGGAGGCAAGTGGCATCCGCCACGGAGCAGAATCGATAGATCCGCAAGGCCGACTAACCCAACAGCAGTTTCTGCCACAGCCGCCGCGACGATTTAACGGCGTGTCTACACCAGATCGGTCTCCGGTTGCTCAATGTCGACGTTGGAGTAGACTAATCAAAAGTAACGTCTCACCAACCAACCGACCAACTGGTTTCTCTTCCAAAAATAAGTTTCGATAAAGCACTAAATCGCCAATTTTGCAGAGAACCACAATTAGGGCATTAAATGCAGTGAACTCACTTCCTTAATCTCGTTTAGACTGTTTAGGTAGGCGATTTCTGTTTGCAGAAGCTCGCGAACCACCAACGCGATCTTCCGCGTGGCGACACGGGCATCAGAGGTGGCGCGGTGGTCAGGAGATGTGTCTGTGGGCGCAAAAGAGGAACACGGGGCGTTTGTTGTCCGGGGAAGAGCCTTGGCAAGCGTGGAGCGCGCGGTTTCCAGCGGGTGGTACTTCAGTGGTTGTGCATGCATCCTCCTTTGGTGCAGTGCATCCTTTATCTGGAAGAGGAATCAAAGTCAAGTTTGCACGCTCACACACGCTTGAACGATGCCACGGCACGGAATGCAATCGATCGCCAAAACTCTAGCACCACTGTATTTGAACATCCTCCATGTCATTCATGATCATGTAGCGGATTAACAGCGATCGCGCCTGAATGAATCCTATTTACCGAACTGACGGTGACGATGACCCATCCCTTTTTCCCTGGCTACTGTATCAAATGCCTGTCATCCAATCATTCATCCACACACTAAGACACACTCGACTGGCATGACGCTAATAAACGATCGTGTTCACTGTCGCCTTTTTCCCTTCTTCTCGGGCTGTTGACTAGAGGGTTGTAAGGTAGTGATTAGACCACAAGCCACTACAATTGGTGACCCCGATGTGATGAAAGGTTCTTCAAATTCCACAAAAATTGGTAACCCCGACGTTGGACGATTATCGACTTTCTGGTGTCCGAAACATCGACCTTTGTTGCACTGACGTTTGGCGACCTATTAGTATGATTCCGTCTCATCGCTAAGCGAGGATTCATTTCTAGCCCCGACGTGGTTCAAGACCACATGCTGGGGCCCACAGCAATCCCGTCTGACGTTTAGCGAAACACGCTACGAGGCTCTACCGAACGTTGTTGTGTGGCTGGGAACGGAACTAAGCGACACCAACAAGATGTGCAATTCATGGGAAGAAGCTACCCGCACGACGACGATTAGATTTGTACAAATCTTTCCCTCTGTGACATCGCGTCTGCAAGTAATCGAACAATCAATCAGGAGGCTGAAATTGGAGCCTACTTCACCTCAGAAGTCAACCAGCTGCGTCGTTGACAACTTCACGATTATGGAATGTTCGCTCAAATTTGGTTGGTGTTGAAGAAATACCATTCATAAAGACGCACAAACTACCAGTTCCGGGGACGTTATCATCGGTGGAAGAGTGGAGTAAACAAATTTGAAAATACATCCATTTTTGTTAAATGACTGTCTGTGGACCAGAAGAGGCTACATGTAGAGCAAGGGTCTCAGGCATCGAACACAAATACAACACCGAGCCTTCGCCGGTATATCTAGAGCACAACGAATACACAAAGGATGTTACATGTCACGTGGGAACTTTGGATAAGACTAGAAGTTTGAATCGTTTAGCCGAAAATTTAATTGCAAATCGAAAATAGCACGTACACTACCTTTCAACTAGGGAACGATGTAGTTTAAATTCGAGACCGTCGTGGGAAATATGCAAACACGAAGATGCTCAAAATCGCACATGATCGAAGAACAAGCAGAAGGCATCTGTGGCTTTCGTACAAAAGGATCGTTAGTACACCATGTAAAGGACACGACCACATGATTCAACTGGTTTGCGTGAATGCACTTCACGTAAATACGTTCGTTCAGGGATCGGTGCTTAGCCGATCCTATATAAACTGACTTATTTTACGGTGTACGCACACCTCTTCGGCTGCCATCTCCGGACTTATTTCTTCCTTGAGTACTTCGTGCGGTGGAGGGCTTCAATAATGTCCGGAAAATCAGACTCCTCGCATTCCATCCAGAAATGGGATCATTAAACGCAGAAAACCCAACCTAACTGAATAGCACCACAAAGCAACTTCGAGAATTGCGATAGGAGAAGGTTGTACATGATTAAAGGAACAAAAATGTCCATTTTACAACTAAATCTGCCAGGCCAGAACGAATACGTACTCTCCATTAAGCCTAGAAAGAGGGAGTGACTTGATGTACCGTATGGAGCAGTAAACTTGGAAACAAAGACATTGTCCCACCTGCATTCGACAGCTCTGCCCTTAACCAACCGTCTGACCTCTAGCCAGTATCAGCTAACACTTCAAAACACGTCATTTTGAAGACTCCAAACCTCCGTCTGTCGAAGCACTCGAGCATGAGAGGCCAGGCACTACCCATGCGTCAACTTGCTTCACGTCAGGCAAGTCAAAAAGGCAGTTTCACGCCGCTTACTTACGTTGCAACTTCTGGACAGAGAAATTATCTACGTCTTCGACAGAGCCATGCAGCGGTCGTGATTTGCAGCCTATAATCTCGAAAGGCAGCCAAGAGTGTTGAAACATCGGGTTCAAGAGAAAGCCTCGCTCAAAGAGCGTCTACTTCTTAAGTTGCTACTGTCCAGCTGATAAAAATAAACTGCACCAGCACCGATCTGTTTGAAATACGTGCAGCCAAATCATTACAAGCAGACGTTGTTGTTGTCTCCACGCATAAACCAAGCATCAGCTATCGTACAGAAGTCGTCACTCCCAGTTTGACATCCAAGGCACTCAATTACCGCCTCTCATTTGCAGTGATCGTTGATTTGACCATGCACTCAAGGCAGAGATCAACTAATCACATTTCTCCACGGGTCAGTGATAATTTACCCCACACCTCTGACATGAGTACTTTACTGGCAACCGATGCGTGCATCTAAATGAGACAGGTCGCAAATGTCACGGTGATGCTTGTAGATGTTACAGCCGTGAAATGAGTACTTCTGAAATGCACCAAAACTACATGACGTGAAGGGGTAATGCGAAAAAAACATGATTTCTGCACTTCTACTCGACCCATTCGAAGCGGACTAAACCGTGTCGCATTGCAACACCCCTCCTCTTTGTAATTTGAACAGGTGTTGAGCCAAGTCTTATAAAATAGCCCTAGTTGGAGTGGGGGAGTGAGATGCGTTCTCGAATACCGAATCGGGCATATAAAGGCGTTTTGTGCAGGTTATCCCATGTCGGCGGAGAATACGACTGAGAATGCGAGCTAGAGGGCTGCATTTTTATTCCTGCCGTGTTTCCCTACAGATGGGAGACAAAATACTGCCAATGAAAGTCACAACATACAACGAATTGGCTTGTTAAATGCCACTGCAAAAGGGTGTTTGACGCTCGAAGTGCAACAGCAATTACCATTGCGCGAAAATGCCAAATCCTCGAAAGTCGACAGTTCAAACACAATCTGACTCATGACAATGCATTTATAGGAATGTTCTTCTGGAGAAAATCAATGTAAATGCAACCGCAGAATGGACCAGTCGAATCCTGAGGTAATTAATAGAACCATAAGCATCTTGGACTTGAATTGTGGTTGCTGAGATCGGGAGCGAATTTGTGTGGCGGTATTCTTGCCTTAGCCATCAACCCCGAAGGTTTGGTAATTGAAATGGCGTCGGAAAACGGTGAATTTTTAGAGCACCTCCAGTTACCAAACTGAAGTTTTTGAGTCGATGCGGATCAGTGATGTTTATCTACAGTTCCAGGCTACCACATCGTGATGTGGGGAGGCAGTTCACATCAAACTAAGCTTACAAACTGAGGCACAAAATCAACAGCTCCGATCACCTAAACATATTCCGATTCATTTCGTGTAAAGGCAACTACTAGATTAAATAAAAGCGTGTAGGCAAAAAACGAGAGAGGGCTTCGACTCTAATACCGAGGATGGTTCCACACCGGAAACTTGCAGGGAGATTGGCCAAGTGATACCTTTTATGCACTTGGTGCTGAGGGAAAGCCATCAACCATCAAAAAAAATACCACGAGGAATGTTGTAGCCGCTATAAAATGATCACCTGATCCACGCAGGTGGTCGCTTTAGATACCACACAGTAGTGGTTTCATTGCACCAGCTACACTTAACGCCAGATTTCTTTCTCAAACAGTAGATACAGGGAGTGGAATGGAGCTATTCTAACCTCAATTATCGAATCAGGAGCGAAAATTTGTAAATTAACAAATAAAACTTTATTCAACTTAAACAACACCTGCTGTCCTTTTCCCTAAATCTTTGACTGCGATGCATCAAAAAGCTCATTTCGGAATCTTCAACTGGTTAATGTGAAATTCGTCACCCAGAAATCAGATCTCAGAAGTATCAGTGAGTGTACCATTGAAAAGGCTGAAAGAATCAGGCAAAACGGACAGATGCTGAGGTAATGGTTATCGATCTTACCCAACATTAAGAAATGAAGAAAATGGTATAAAATATGGTCTCTTTAGATGTGAGCTAGGAGAATCTAGCCTACCTGTGTTATTAACGCCGTCATTGGGGCAAGTGAAGTTAACCGCGAACACAGCAAGTGTGCGACTTTCGTACACACACACACACATGTGCGGGGTCATCTATCGGTTCAACACACAAAACCCACATACTCCAATGGCCTACTTGCGTGGAGTCAGTCTGTGACAGTCTCAAAAAAAACTTCTACACGATTAAAAAGGCCTGTTTTGACTTGCAAGGGCCACAATGACATTTCAGGTGTGTGGGGAAGGGGATAGTCGTAGGAGGTTTGCTGCTACAAGTGTTTGCAGACGTGGATAGCATTTCGGACAGGTTGGTATCTCATCAGCAAGTCCACAACAGAGCACAAAACCCTCAATACATTCGAAGATTTAAACAATTAGCCGAGGCTGCATGTAAAGTTGGACGTAGACTAAAGAGGAGTTCGATTAGGAAACGCAGAAATGCCCGCACCACATATTCCTTGAGCCATCTAAGGTATTTTGCATTCGTCGTCTTGATCGACCCCTTCCGCAGACAAAACTGGGCATGTTTTGGAATGAGGATAGCCTGAGAACGAAAAGGCAGGATTCCATAACGAGTGTCAAGATAAAATTGAATGACCTCTGTCTTGGTCTAATCAAGCCCCTTCCAGGTTACGTAACAGTGTGCCGCAGTCTGTAGTATTAAAACTCCGTCCACAAGGATGAATGTTGGTGATAAATAGGCAGGATGAGTGCAGTCCGCCAACGCTGTTCTGCCCAGATTGGAAATTGATCTTATGATCAGTAAAAATATGAACTTTCATTTTCACGGTAATTATACACATCGTCAAACGATGGAAAGACGGAAACCCATGCAACCCTTTTCTGCCAAGTTTATTATTTACAGCATCGACGCCAGTCCTCAAAAAAGACTCGTTTCAGGAATTCCCAGCTCAATCGACTGCT